TTCATGAAAGGTTTTTTAATAAATACACTCTGCAGTGATCACAGAGCTAAGAAGGAACATTACATGTCTTTTAGCTTTTAGCGAACACGACTTACAATAAGTGCATTTCAACCATAAGGATACAAAAAACAAGAAAGTGCAATTTCCTCAAATAAGCCAATTTTGGCCAATTTACAATTTGCTATAGATAAGTGGTGTTACAAGTACAATTTAAGTGCTACAATTTGTTAGTCTTTTAGTGCAGGTAGAGTCTGAAGAGGTGTGTCTTTAGTCTCTGCGGTCCTGGTGTCTTCAGAGGGCAGGACATGCAATTATGTTTGCCGTATAAAATGAATATAAAATGAATTCAATCAATCCATTAAACAAATTAACCTGTCCATTCAGTCCATTCTCGGCAAAATGCCTTGTTCTAGCTGACAAGATTTGTCATTTTGCAGATGTGAAATAACTTTGGCAGGTGAATTGTTACTTTGAACTTAAAAAGGTGCTTTATTTAAGGGAAGAAACAGGGCGTCATGTGATTTACGCATGTAGTTAGTTGGTATGTTTTCTGAACGGGGGACTTAAAGGCTAGGAAAGCTGAGGCAATAAAAATAGAATACCTCCTTTTACAAATTTATAATTTACAAATAACTTTTGGTTTTAGCTCCAGATAGTAAATCCTGCACCAAAGCATACCCTGCTTCATGGTATATTTTACTCTAAATGGACTATAATTTACTAAATGAACAGCGTGCTGTATTTAAGGAGACTTAGAACTTGGGACTGAGACCATAAACTCATGTTTGCAATGTTTACTGAGGGAATAAATCAAGAGAGAAGTTGAGTCATTTTCTCATAGACTTCTATAGATCAAGCTTCTTTTTTCCATTTGAAATAATGCGGGTTGACGCCACTTGGCTTCATTTTTTCATAACCTACGGCTGCAGCCTAAACTTTACACACAAATACCAGATGAATAGCAGGACACTCATTTTCTCAGCATCTCACACGCTCTTGCGCATTGTCTTTTGTAGCACTTTGCCTTGATTGCTGTACACCCCAAAAAAAAAGTCCTATTTATAGTGTTCGAGCACTGATTTCACAGTGATCCATTTGTTTACAACTGTTTTCACATGTTCATTCTGGCCTCAGGTCATTGATATTTCAGTGGCGTTTGGAAAGCCAACATTCCCAGGCTTTTAGCTCTAAATGATATGTCTAAAGTAGGAAAAACAAGTAGTAATAGTAGCAGTAGTTCTAGAGTAAAGCAGACAATGACTGATGGTTCAGCCTACCTGGTTAATATATGAAACAAATTGATGATGGCCAACATTGCAGAGTGCACAGTTTGATGTGCTCTTGCACAACTGCACACACAACGTGGCCATTGTGCGTTCACTGTGTATTGAAACGGCACATGCAGTGACTATTGTGGCTGTGTGTTTGTCAGACATGCAGAAATGCCACCTTTCCGCTGGTAGTGATAAGGGCTTAGGATGACTGACATGTCCATGGTCCCCCCTATTGATTCCGCGAGCCACCAGCGACCTTTGATGCGCACTGATATTTATAAGAAAAGTCCGATGCGACATTCAAACAGAGGTTTTCATGCAGTTCTACACTGTGTTTGACCCACTGAGGCAACAAGCTTTCTGCACTTGACCCTGATACTTTCTCTCTCACTTTTGCATAAGCAAATAAGTGTGAATCGAAAGGTCAGTTCAGCATAAAACTAAATATTGACTTTTCCCTTTTAAAAGAAATCCCCCAAATCTCTCTCAGATAGATAATTGCCCCTAGTGCTTGTTGTGTGACATCAAACGCATTTCCTCGCTGCCAGCTGGTTCTGTTTTTGGGGCATGACGTCACAGCTCAAAGAGCTGTTTGAAAAGCACACTCACAAGTCCACACACTATCCATGCATTTCCTTTTTGGTTTTGCCAACTAAACCATAGTTCCACCCCAACTCTGTGGCATGCGGTTATAAGTCAGTCTGTGACGTCTTTGGGTGTCTGTGTGCAGAAAAACCATCTGCAGTGCAACGGCTGGCACCCTTATTGTTCATTTACACACTAAAAATAAGCGCAGACACCACAACATGCATGCACAGTCTCCAGCCCAGTAAAATAACACTGCGTTTGGGAAAATGTACAGTCTCAATCCCCTGACTTATTTAAACTTCCCAGCCTGGGTTTTGGGTGTGCTACGCAGTTCTGCTCTGAGCAAGTTTGACCAAGTTTGACCTTAAAAAACGTTGTCGTCAGTGAACATTATCCATGCAGCGGTTAGGTTTTCCATCACAACATAGCTGGGCGAACAGTCTGGTAGAATATAAGTGCACTTTCTGGAGGACAGGGTTGGTCTGTGAACACTAGACAAAAACCGCTGCCAGTATTATTTGTGAAGGGGTCAAAGTCAAAGGTCATCAACCAGGGGTCAGTGGACACCAGTAAGAAGATGCATTTTACCATGCAGTTTTCTGCTGCAGGGGGGGGCAGTGATGCCGAGCCTTTGGCAGAGGATTTGCTGCCAGGCCAGGTGTTACTCCTGAGGTGACTACGCAGCGAATCTGCAATTCTCCAAATCCCTGTGAAACTCTGATGGGGAAGTCACGTTACATTTCAATAAGCTCCAACAGCACGTTCTGCCGTTCTCCCTTTTACTTCAATGGAGAAAGACTTTGAGAATCCTGTCTATCTCGAGAGCACCCAATAAAATTCTGTGATCCTTTATGTGAGTACGTTCACATGTTTCCACATAGTCACGGAAATATTTCCGTTTGCGAGTCTGGAGATGATTTGTGTAATTCATGTGCTCGTGCATGCTTGTGTGTCAGCTAAAACCGGTCGGCCAACCACTGACGGGCGGCTCAGGTCCACAAGGCTGTGACCTATTTCCCTCTGGACCTTCCAGAACTGTCTCACGGTCATACAGACGTACTTCTGAGTAGTGGTCTCATTTAAGCATTGTGCATTTGTTTCAGGAAACCTCTTGTGATTAATTGCTCTTGATCAGATGAGATCAAAAGTTTTCAACTTTATGCGTCACAGCGGCCACTCAACCCGACACGAACAAGCACGGGTCTTTCTTTCATGAGAGCGCTGTTTGATTTAATTAGAGTTTAGCACGGGACACAGTGGTTTGTCCCTGGTTAGCTGGGTAAGCCCCTTGTTGACGTCCCCCTTTTCCTAAACATTACTTTGGAGCTTGGAGCTGCTGCGCTTTTGACGCATCTTGACAGGAATGTGTCGCTCCATGCAATAAAATCTTTCATTTCTATCATTTAGTTTAGAAACTATGAGATATCTGTGTATATATATATATTTGTTTAACACGCCAAAATGTAAAAATAACACAATGTGGTGATGACAATTAACCGAAAGGGATTTGACGTGTTGAATAATGAGCTTCAGAGGTGCTGGTCGGCACTTTTAAACAGCTCCATGGGAAGCATTTGGACGTGTGTCTTATTCTTATTACGGTGGGTGGACTATGAAAACTACAAGCACAATGTTGGAAATAAGCCCAGGAATAGAGTTCTATTCCCAACAACATCTGATGTGTATGTTTTATAGACGTATTTCAACAAAGCGCACACATTCACCACTCTGCACCCACATTACAGTGGATTGAATTGACTAAATGGAGCTTTGCTCTCTAAGAAATAGAGAAATTGTTTGACTGATACTGATGTGTCCACCGTCAGCTAAATAAGTCATTAATGGAAGTTGTCTTTAACTCTGAGCCACATGTGGTCTTCGGGCTGCAGGCCGGGTCTCTGCACACATGTGGTTTGATTCAGTGCTGTGAAAAGGGGAAATAAGAAACTGTACAAACAGTATCCTCTCATATCAGCCAAGCTGCCGTCGACTTTTGGACCGAATGGCTGGTGAGCCACATCGCTCTCCTTTACTGGGATCGTGACTTGGTCATGTGGTGTTCAGACGGCCTTGTTGGGCTGAGTTTCTCCTGTTTTAAGAACATGATGCAATCCTCTAGAAATGTTACAATGGCTGACCTGTGGCAGAGAGGTACAGCTCTGCACGCTATGTAGGTGTCCGAGCGCACAGCCAGATGAAACATACATATTGTACCAGATTGAGTGGGAGGGCCACCGTGGTGGAGGGAGAAGGCTTGCGTGAGCGACGTGATGCTGATGTCAGCGAAAAGCTTATCTTTTGCTTCAGGTTTGATGGAAATGCATCATTGGGACCGACCAGGAAGTTTTCTAATCGTTATTGGAGGCTGTTTCCCACACAGCGGTGGCCTGTAACTGTGTGTGGCAGCTAACCAGCGCAGCAGGACGTCTTCAATGAGGTACTGGAACGGCATTTTAGAACTTGAAGAAAAAGCCTATTGAATCAGAAATCAAGAATAAGAATATTTGAAAAAAATGAAGAAGTGGATGAAATGAAAATGTTGATTGAATGTGAAGAGTCCTTTCTATGTGTGTAGGCATCACTTTGCCCACTCTCATTGGTGTGAGAGTTCATTTGTGTATTTGCTAAACACACGCGACGCCTTGCAGGCCGCTGGTGTCAGACGAGGATCCACTAGTTGTGGGTCGCATTCATTCAACGACACGTACAGCAGATGCACCTTCTAGTTATGTGTTGCTTAGTCGTCTCTTTATGGGAATGATGCTTTTCTTGTTTTTCTGATTTGCCTTTTAGTCAGTTTTTTACTTATATGCTGTTTCCTCGGAAAACAGATTTCAAATCTTAGTAAGACTATCCTTGATAAATAAGGGTTGAACACAAATCTGAAGTTTTGATTGAAACTATATAATTGGCAAAAACAACTGTATGCATAGAAAAATAGACAAAAATCTAAAGTAAGTAAATTTAGAATTTAAATACAAATGACATTTTCTAATTTAGAGAGTAAATTTAGAATATAAAATAATGACAACTTACATTACACAGAGACAAAATGCTAATGAGGGACCTGAAAGAACACATTGAAAACACGATGATAATGCTTAATTAAATACTAATTAAAACCAATCCATCACCAACTGAGACAGAAAACACATTTATTGGTTAAAATAGCTTTTCACAGATAGAATTAATGATTTTTTTGTCTTGCTATCATGAACTTACACTGTACAACAGTGGATCCCCTCGGATTAGCATTGAATTTCGGCAACAAATGACAAATTGCTCCTGCTCCTGTCAGTGGAAGACATCTGTCCCAGAACCAGCCGATGAAACCAGTGGCCGGATGTCTGATGTTACGCACTGTAGTGATTTCTGTGTTATAAAATAAATTAGTAACAAGTGTATCAGAAAACTCTTTCTCCACTAACTGTGTGCTTCATATTACATCTCTACCACCAAGATCTCAGTGCAAATGCCATTGTAGCAGAAAGATCCATGACACATGTAAGTACCAACAAAACGATGCACGAGTTAAATATCTTTTTAGAAATGACAAGAGAAGAAAGGGAAGAAAGGCCCAAATTAGTGTTTGGTAACTACTACATTGGCATACATTTGAACATAACTGACTAAATATTAGTCCAGATCTATAAGCAGTCTTCTAAAACTCACATTTTTATTCTGACAGTTAGCTTGATTTACAGTACTAAATATCTATTTCTCAAGCAGCAACGGTTACATCTGAACAAAGAAAACAATACCTACAGAACGGGAAAAAAGGATCTTTCACCCAAATATGTAAAACGCAGATAAATCCTTCTACAGCCGCAAAAGATGCAAAGAAAAGTAAACACAGTAAGAAAGCCGTTCTTTATGGAAGCCGTGTGAAAGCACACAGCAGCCTGACCCCCCGACCCCCCCGACCACCCTCTCTCAAACACACACAAACAATACACCACATAAATTCAAAGTTTATCAGGAAACAACGGTGCACACTGACGGACAAAGTGACCTAAGAGGAAATGTTTACTGTGAATAAATACAGTTTGTGGGGAGTCGATGAGATGTTTGCTGTGGCTGCGTGATACTGATAGTAGTCAAATGCTCCTCTTAGTGGTGGCTGTCCTCAATATGCCAAGCAATAAATATTCACTACAACAGATATTAAGCGCTCTCCCACCTGTTGAGCTACTGTCATGTGAGCCGACGGTTCCGGAGTGAGATGGAAAACAGAAGAAAGTGTTTTTAAAAATGTCGATTAAGGATCTGCTTTTAACAGCAGCTCAACTCAATGTAACTATTAAACTCTGTTTTCTCACTTCATCCTCCCTGCTGACTGGGACACGGCTCATTATTAAGTGATCATTGCCAATGAGGCCAACGCTTAGTCGCTTTTCGCTCTGAGTTGACCTCCTATCTCCTCGGGGGGGGAACAACTTTCTCATGACCCTTTTAAATTGCAAAATGTGTGGCGTCTATTACTTGGGACGTCGAGGGCTGTGGCGACTTGTTTGATTCTTACAACTGAACATTTTCCTTTCCTTTTCTATCTGGTGACATGGTTGAAAAAACAAACAAAAGAACTAAAAAGCCTAAAAAGCCCCCACCTCTCTGACAGTGGTTAGTAAGAATGCTGCCACCAGGAAGAAGAGCAGAAACTATGGAAACCGGATCCACGGCAACTTAAAACCAGAGCGGCCACGTCAACTGGGGCGCCCGCCCCCCCACCCCCCCCCCCCCCTAAGGTTACGGTTAAAGTCATTAAGAAAAGGGGAAAAAAACACTTACAACTTGTACCTTTTTGACAGTGTTACGTAACAAGTTTTAATGTCTCTATGCTGAAGACAGTGATTGGGGTTAGCCCCGCCTCCTGTCATTCAGAGCGGAGCTGGCAGGAGGAGGGGGGGCGGGGCTTACACGTCCAGGTCGTCTGGCCTGGGTCGGCTGCTCATGCGGCTGCTGGCCCGGCTACAGGGCCTGACGTCCATCAGCGCCAGCGGCTGCATCTCGTGTCCCGCCGCCGACGGCAGCTTCTTGTGCTCCTGGGTGTCGTCCGGGAAGTCGAAGGCTTGAGCGTGGGAGTTTGAAATAGTGCTTCCTCCGCCGTTCTGGCCGAGCCGGTGCTGCTCCGTGGAGTAGTTGGCCCAGTTCTGCTCGGTGGCCTGCTTGTTGTAATTGCGACACGAGCCGGTGCCCCGCTCCCCCGTGGCCAGCTTGTAGCCCGGGGGGGACATGGGCGACAGCGGCGCCGTGGGGGAGGAGCAGCCGTTGTAGTAGGCGTACTTGGTGGTGGACATCTCCTTAGGGGTGGGGCTTAGCGTGCCCCCACTGGGGTAGAGAATGGGCGGCTGTTTGCCCTTCACGCGATCTTTGATATTCTTGAAAAAGACGTAGAAAAGCTCAATGATGTTGAGCATCAGGGACACCAGGGAGACCACCAGCATGAAGATGATGAACACCGTCTTCTCCGTGGGACGCGACAGGAAGCAGTCTACCCGGTGTGGGCACGGGTCCCTCTCGCAGGTGTAGACCGCAGAGAGGCTGAACCCGTAGATGTACCACTGGATCACCAGGAAGCCCACCTCGAACATGGACTTGAAGAAAATGCTGACTATGTAGGTTCTGAGCAGGGCCCCTTTCATCTTCACCTTGCCGTGCTCCTCGATGCCGTACTTCAGCTTCTTCATCTCGATCTTCTTCAGCGGGATGTCAACGTCGCCGCCATCGTTTTGCACGGCCTTGAGCTCCTCCTCCTTCCTGTTGAACTTCTGCTCCTTCCGGTTCAAGTAGAAGACGTGAGCCAGGTAGAGGAGCGTGGGCGTGGACACGAAGATGATCTGGAGGACCCAGAAGCGGACGTGGGAGATGGGGAAGGATTTGTCGTAGCACACGTTCTCACAACCGGGCTGCTGGGTGTTGCATTTGAAGGCCGACTGCTCGTCTCCCCAGGCGGATTCCACCGCCGTGCCCAGGACCAGGATGCGGAAGATGAAGAGGACCGACAGCCAGACTTTGCCGCCGGCGGTGGAGTAGGCCTGGACCTTGTCCAGGAGACGGCCCAGAGCGCTCCAGTCCCCCATCGTCAGGGGGCGTTAGCTGCTGGAACAAAAAACAAACACCTACGATTCAATGATGAGCTCAGACGTGTTCTACGTGTTCTTCAATTGCTTCTTCTTTCCTTTTTCATGCCAGCATCATAGTGTGTAATAATGGAGCTTCAGGCCTGTTACAATAATCACAGTAGGCCTGCAGTGTCTGCTTCTCCCGCCGTGCTTACAGAGAACAAGAACATTTCCTTTTGGTAGATTGACTAATTACGGGGAAAAGCATGACATCAGCAGCTCCCCGTTGACAGCTCGCTCCTTAACCGCTGGGAAACCATTCAGGCCCCAACTTTAAGGGGGGGGTCCCGCTGAAATCCCAAACGTGTGCTTCTGCTTTGCCACAAGGACAATAGAGCCCCAGTGGCAGGACGCAGGACGCAGCGCTGTCCTCGGATGACTGACTCCTCATTTGTGTAAATGAACAAGACGCCACATTGAATCATAAAGGGGAAAAGTGGTTTGTTGAAGAGGTCCTCCAAGGGGCTGGAGGAGCTTCGTGGGACATGGTGAAGGGGGGTCGGGGGGGTCTTTAAGGGCCCTACAGCATTATTACCTCACAGATTATAAAACAGCCCTAAACCGGTTTTCCCTCTCACCTCCAGCTCTCTTCTCTCTGCTGCACCAGTGGAGAGAAAAAACACTCAGGTGTCTTCTACAGGCCCCACTGGGACCTGGAGGACGTGCGGGGGCTCCGGCTGTGGGAACAGTGGGATCGTCCCTTGTTCTTAGACAGGAATCGACTGTGGGAACAAAGGGATCGTCCCTTGTTCTTAGACCAGAATCATCCCGCCACTTTCTACATGAGTGAGTTTGTCTGATGAAGATGGAGCAGGACGGCCGAGAACAAAAGACCAAAGCAAAGTTCTGCGGCTCCTCACAAAGGAACCATCAGATCATCTGATCGGTTCCTGCTGTCAGTTCGTTTTCTAGTTACTTTAGTTGTGAAGAGTCTTCAAATATAAAACAGAGATTTCCTTTATTTTAAAGTCAATCGGACACACGAAAGAAATAAAAGTAACACTCTGGATTTCAGGACGCATCCAATCAATTCACTTCATCACATCTTCCAGATGTGTTTCATAAAGGGGGGGGGGGGGCTGGGGGGCAAAAAGGGACCCAGAGTCGCTTTTCAGACTCTGGAAGTAAAATAGTGAAACTTTCAACGAAGTGCGCGTGATGCGAACCGGACGTCGCGACTCTTTCCTAACGGGGGCGAGCGGACAGGACGCGGGGGCCGGGGGGACGGGGGGGACGAGGGGGACGGGGGGGACCGGGGGGGACCGAGGGGGACCGCGGGGACCGGGCGGCTCTTTCCACTAATCTGAAAGAAAGGTTTTGTGACTTACCGGAGGAGCCTCGCAGGGGGAAGAAGCCGCCGGACGGACCGAGTTGAAATCCGAGCGCTGGCAGCAGAGAGAGAGACTGAGGACAACTTGTCAAACTTCCTTTATAAGTGTCCCGTCAGAGAAGTTACGGTCACCTGATCTGTCTACGTCAGGACCCAAGCCCCTGTCCACTGGGAGGAGAGAGAGACAGAGAGAGAGGGGGGGGAGGCGTTGAGTTTAAGAAGAACATTTAACTCGTATAGTTTTGAGATACTGATACTCATTATTGTGCAGATTCAAGTTCACAAGAAAAAGTTCAACTTGTGAAATCTGACGATGATGATGATGACGATGATGATGATGATGATGATGATGATGATGATGATGATGATGATCCTCTAAACCAGTGGTTCTGAACTGGTCTGGTTCTGGACCCACCATCACCCCTTAATAACAAGCCGCGACCCAAATCGAGGAACATTCTCAACTTCTCAAATGTATTTAATGAAAATGTGCAGTTTGAACCTGAGACAGAAAACGTATAACAACACAAAAACAAGTTTAATGAACAAACTAAACAGCTGTTCATTCGACTTGTTATTTTCCCACCGGTTGAGAATCACACATTGAGATGAAGCAGCATCCAACGCTGCACAGTGACTATTTGCTTTCTTCAGTCCCAAAACACAAAAATACACTTTATCTTTTTTCTCTTACCTGTGGGGCTTTTTTAATCTTCATTTTGGGGTTTTGAGTTACCGAGTTTCGTTGTATTAATGTCCGGTACTTTATGGGAACTCTGAGCTGATTACTCGAGATGACCCACAGACTTTAGTACTAATTACTTATTACTTAATTATTAATAAACTAAAATATCTATTTGGGATTTGGGGATAATCTGCCCCTTTTGTCAGTTTAATTTAAATACCAGACTTTTGAGCATTGGGATATTGATTCTTTAAAAGGACGCTTTGTCCCACAGTGATTATAGTACATTTGCAGACATGCATCGCATGCAGTCTTACACGTAGTCTCTTAATTAAAACGTCTAAAGGGCTGCATGGACCCAATTCTTCTGCAATGTTGACACGTTACATGTAGACGATCACAGGTTCTTTCTTTTTCATCAAAAATGGCCACAAAATGTAATTATCCAAAAGCTTCTCAAAGGGACCACCTCCACCGAGGACTTCAGCACGGCCTACAGACGAGTTCAGTCCGTATCTGTGAGCACGAGCTTCTCCTTTACAGCCAGACACGTCTCAAACGTAGATGTCATGAAGTCGAAGTCTGGTGCCGCTCCATGTCCACTAAAGGTCTCAGTGTTATCCACATCATTGATCACTAATTCATCCTTGTTGGAGTGGACTTGGGGGAGAGAATATAATGATCTTAGGCTGCAGAAACGTTGTGTGAGTTGTCCTCTTGCTTTATACCGTCCTGTTTTCCCTCGGACTCTCTGTCCTTTTCATTTGGTCTTATTTTTATATTATTATTCCGCTCATCATCATTCGTAGAGTTCAGGTTGTTCTGCTGTCGTCTCGTGCTCATTTGCTTTGAAATGGTATGAAAACAATAAAGAAGAGAAGCAGCAGTCCTGAGGACAAAGACAAACACGTGGACAGTGCACAGCATCACCTAGTGGTGACTCTGCGGCGGCGCAGCTCTGCTGGGCGAGCTGGTGTGTGCCGTAGATGAAACCCCCATAATGCAATGCGAACCTCAGACTCTAGAACTCAACTTCCTCACGCATACAAGTGGACGGCAGGGACGTGAAGTGGACAGCAGAGAAATGAGACAGACAACGGAGACGTGAGGTCATAACACCTCACACAACGTACTTAACCATATATACACTGTGCTTTGACCCAACAAAGGGTTCACCTGGAGACACGTTGAGAGGGACGACTGTGAGACACGTTGAGAGGGACGACTGTGAGACACGTTGAGAGGGACGACTGTGAGACAGAGGGACGACTGAGAGGCCTCGAAGCGGAGCTGATGAAGCAGGTGCGTCACCTGCTTCATAAAAAATAATCATGTAAATAATCATGTTTTATATTCTAAATCAGTGAGTATAAGTTCATCCTCTCCACAGGTGAGGTGGTTTAAAATGCTCAGACACATTACTTGGTTACCTGGAGCTACGGCGGCTACATGGAAGCAAACTAGTTTGCATCTCTTGAGTGACGAGTGGGAGAGCTGGAGTTGGGACATTGTTAGCTGAGCTCAGCATAACGAGGCGTCCTCCTGGTGGACACTCCTGACATCTGGGGGACGGCGCTTTGCCAGGACGTTCCACATGAGAAGGGAATGAGGGAGATTGAGAAACGGCCATCTTCATCTTCCTCCTCGTCCATCCCTCCCACCTCCTCGTCAGAAAACATGGAGTGGTACCCAGAATCGCTCTCCCAGTCGGACTCGTCGTCTTCCTCCTGTTCCACCTCTTTTACGTCACATGTCATTTAGCTGACGCTTTTATCCAAAGCGACTTACAATAGGTGTGCAAGAAAGAAACAAGGATTGCAATTTCAGCAAATAAGCCGATGTACAACTTGCTGTAGATAAGAACCATTATTAGTCCAATGTAAGTGCTGCAGTTAGTTAGTGTGTTAGTGGAGGTAGAGTGTGAAGAGGTGTGTCTTTAGTCTGAAGATGTGAAGGCTCTCTGTGGTCCTGATGTCTTCAGAGACCTCCTTCCACCATTTAGGAGCAGGACAGCAAAGAGTGGAGATCTAGTCGAGTGTTTTGCTCTCAGTGAGGAGGAACAAGCAGTTTATCACATGCAGAGCGGAGAGGTCAGAGGTCGGGAGGTCGGGTTGGACCAGGTCCTGGATGGAAGCTGGACCCCATCCATTCACAGCATCTTACTTTATTATCTATGTCCTTTTTTAATTCAATATAGTCAACGTGAACTTCTGAACCACCCTAACCCAGTTACAAAATACCTGACGGTTCGAACCACTTTTATTGCTCCATTCATTAGACAATTAATTAATATATTTCATTTTTGTTTAGCACAATCTTGGCAGTTAAACTGAGAACATTGATATTAATTCACTTTCTGGACCACCATCGTGCTCCCTGGTCTGCAGCCACCTTAAAAGCTGCTTCTCCTCCAAACAGTACGTTTAAATAAGGGATGCAACACAAAGTAAGTGTGCACATGTTTATGTGAATTCATCCTTCTGAGGGACATCAGCTCCTCTGCCAGCCGTCCAATGAACAAAAGACAAATACTGTAAATCTTTATTTTCAACTCAAATTCTTGTACAGAAAAGCTTTTTGCAGCCATTGTGGTGGATAGGATTCCTTGTTCCTGCTCATCCAGATCAAGGGGACAAGTTCATCAGCACACTGTGTTGTTACGAGTATCAAACACACTTCTCTCTGATCGGCTGTTGGGATTAGGAGTAAATGTAACTAGTGGTCAAAAGCCAGATTTAACTCAAAAACAAAAAACCCAATTTATCTGTAAGAAGTGTTAAATATCCAATGAGAAACATTCCTGTTTTCACCGCTGAAAATAACATGATGTAAACAAACAAACTATTTACAAAGAATTCAGTCAGCACAGCATAAGAAAAATGATGCATGATCTAATTAATACTTGTGTTCTAAGCTACAGCTGCATGGGGGGGGAACGACTTTTTGGGGGGTTCACAATTGCAGTTCATAAAAACGCACAGTCGGCAGCTTCCATGTCGTCACAGCATGAAGTTCATTAAAGTCTTCAGGATGAAGATAGAAGCCACATTCCGTGGTGGTTCAGAACGGGGACTCGTGTGCATAGTTACTTGTTCGGAACGCTGGAATCAAAACACTCACTTTGCATTCTTCACGCTCATAAGCCCACACAGGCCCCCGGGGGGCCGGGGGGCCCCGCGCGGCACAGAGCGTACCTGAGGTAGCAACACAAGTCGAATACACTTGGGGACTGAGTATGCTAGAAAACTAAATATGCCTTTTCACATCAGTGCATTTTTCTTCAAACCTCCCAAATCATTTTACACTCAAGTCAACTAGATGTCTATTCAAATAAATATTTAAAAACTAAAGGCAACCAAATTTTAAAGAAAGTTCTGTGTCCTGAGTTCCACTGTGCAGAAGATTTAATCCCATCCTTCACAACATGGACGTGGAGTTGTACTGGGAAGGTGTAGCTTAAAGAAATAATTCAAAATAGCCAAGCTGATATTGTGAAATATTGAATATGGGAGAAAAAAACCTCACCAAAATCAAAAATCATTCAAATGGAGATATTCTTGAAGTATAAAACAAATGCGTATATATACAAAAATATACATCCTTCCAAGACATTCCTAGCAGAAGCGTTTGAAACTATTCCCAGTTTATATTCTATTTTTAAAAAGGCGATTCCTCCACTGGGTGCTGCTTTGTCTCGCACTTAAAAAAAGGATTCAGAAACAAGACACCAAACTTGATAAATTCTTGGATTAAAAAAAACAACAACTAAGAGTATAAAAAGTCAAATCTGTCAATCGCCTATTCAACTTTTTGGGACTCACAGGCCGTAATATCAGGTAGAAAAGGCCTCGGCTCAAGGGTGGGGTGGGGGGGTCCTCAGTAGACACCAGGAATGATCCGGTAGGGAACAGTCCGGCAGTACTCGTCCCACACCGAGCCGTACTTCCTCCGACACTCGCTCATGTCGCGGGCGTCCCGGTGCACCAGCAGGATGACGAAGTAGATCATGTAGTACCACGGCAGGAGGTGGCTGAAGCCTGGGGGGGGGGTACAATATCCATAACTAACATTAAGATTCCAAATCCATGATTCTGGTGAGCTTTTGTGGAAACTAATTGTATTAATGACTGTAGACAGACGGTATAAACATGGACGTAGACTCGGGGGCCCCAGGGGGCTGTGAGGAGTCAAAATGGGCCCCCAGTTCAATGCGTTGGGGCTCAGAAGGGACGGTCGCTCGCTTGGTTGTCATGGTGAAGTCATAACGGACGTGTTAACTGGGATGCCCTTCTTTTAACAGTACATCCATTAACAGCACGTCAAGCTAAGCTAACAAGCTAGTGCTACTCCTAGACTAGAAGCTAAGCTAGCAAGCTGGTGCTACTCCTAGACTAGAAGCTAAGCTAACAAGCTGGTGCTACTCCTAGACTAGAAGCTAAGCTAACAAGCTAATGCTACTCCTAGACTAGAAACTAAACTAACAAGCTAGTGCTACTCCTAGACTAGAAGCTAAGCTAGCAAGCTGGTGCTACTCCTAGACTAGAAACTAAACTAACAAGCTAGTGCTACTCCTAGACTAGAAGCTAAGCTAGCAAGCTGGTGCTACTCCTAGACTAGAAGCTAAGCTAACAAGCTGGTGCTACTCCTAGACTAGAAGCTAAGCTAGCAAGCTAATGCTACTCCTAGACTAGAAACTAAACTAACAAGCTAGTGCTACTCCTAGACTAGAAGCTAAGCTAGCAAGCTGGTGCTACTCCTAGACTAGAAGCTAAGCTAGCAAGCTAGTGCTACTCCTAGACTAGAAGCTAAGCTAGCAAGCTGGTGCTACTCCTAGACTAGAAGCTAAGCTAGCAAGCTGGTGCTACTCCTAGACTAGAAGCTAAGCTAACAAGCTGGTGCTACTCCTAGACTAGAAACTAAACTAACAAGCTAGTGCTACTCCTAGACTAGAAGCTAAGCTAGCAAGCTGGTGCTACTCCTAGACTAGAAGCTAAGCTAGCAAGCTAGTGCTACTCCTAGACTAGAAACTAAACTAACACGCTTGTGCTACTCCTAGACTAGAAGCTAAGCTAACGAGCTGGTGCTACTCCTAGACTAGAAGCTAAGCTAACAAGCTGGTGCTACTCCTAGACTAGAAGCTAAGCTAACAAGCTAGTGCTACTCCTAGACTAGAAGCTAAGCTAACAAGCTGGTGCTACTCCTAGACTAGAAGCTAAGCTAACAAGCTGGTGCTACTCCTAGACTAGGATTACTGCTGTAATCTATGGTAGGTACCACGAGTCCATGTGGGAATGCTGGAAGATACCAGAGGGATTCGTTTGACTTTCAGCACGCGGAGCCAACTCACCACAAGGGAGGGACCACGCCAGCGCCATCAAAAGGTCGCCCAGGTAGTTTGGGTGGCGGACCACACCCCACCAGCCGGACACCAGCAGACTCTTTCCTGTGGCAGTGGGGATGCTCTGCAGATCTGCGACAACAGAGAGACAAACAAAGGTTACCACGGTGACACTTGTTGGAAAAGGATGTGTCAACTAACTCCAGGGAGCTCACACATCAGGAAAAAGCTGCCTCAATTATTTTCTATTGGAGGTCTACAAAGAAATGTTGACCACACACACACACACACACACACACCATTGATTCCACAACAGAACTTACGAGACAGTTTGGGGTCTGATGGGTTTCTCCTGAAGGCGTTCTTCTCAGAGTTGGACTTCCTGAAGATGTAGAATCCAACAACTGAAGGACAGAAAGAAAACTTCAAACATCCAGCTGAGCTACACAAGGAGGGGAAAACCAATCTCAACTTGACTTCTTTGGGAACAAATCAACCTCAAGAGTTCTCATGAGTAGCTGCACGGGACCTCAAGATAAAGTAACACGGTCAACATCTGGATTAACAGGACGGCTCATGACTCGTGAGTCTGATGCTGTGCTCCTTACGCTTCAGTGCGATTATGGCTGCGGCGGCGGGGGGGCTCAGGGGGACGGGGTGGCGGACCAGGTAGTAGGCCTGCAGGGTGTAAGTGAAGGGAACCCACACCAGATCACCAAAAGCCAGCATGAAGCCAAAACCATCGTGCATCAAGTCCATGGTGGTCAGTATGGCCTCCTGGGGACAGAGAGGACATTCGTGAGACAATATAACGTAAACATCTGTTACAGCACGTTTTGACCGCGCTCAGCGTACCTCGTTCCAGAGGCCGTCCACCACGTAGAGCAGCTGGAAGAGGTTCACCAGGAGCATGGAGTAGGAGGGAGCATCCAGACCCTGCTGCTTCATCTCAGCCAACGCCATCGCAAAGTTGATCAAACACTGAACGATGAGAATAAAATCAAGTCAAAGACCATCACGAATATGTCGTAATACCCTCTGACGCCCATTGGAAAGAAGAGCTGCTAGAACCTCAAAGCTTAAAGTTTGCACTCGAGGAGAAACAATGCATCACGCCTTGTGTCGGAGGTTCAAAGACACTAGAGTGGCCACCAGAGGGTGCAGCATGTCTAGCAAATGGCCTTTGCACTGTGGTATGGGAATATAAAAAGGCCTCTTCTGCGTATTATAGTGAACTTCATACATTAAGTGCTAACTCACCCAACCAATCAGACCAGGGCGCATCTCGCAGAAGAACTTCAGGTCAAATTCTCTGATGCGTGGATTCAGCTCATGTCCTTTGAAAAAGTCATAGAGCAGATTGCCTGGTGAAACAGAAGAGACGAGAAAGCAGATGTCAGGGGGCACAACGCCACGTGGCTGAGCAGTGATTGGGTCACTCTGCAGCTCCCGCCCCCTTACCAGAGCTCCCCCCCAGGGCCAGCTGCTCCGAGGCAGCATACTGGGAGCGGACATACAGGTAGACGCTCAGCAGGACCGAGACGAGGAAGGCGGCCGCAGTCAGCTGCAGGAAGTGGCTGTGGATGTAGGTGATGTCGACGCCCTGGTGCGCCGCCGCCGCTATAGCGAGAGCGCTCACAGAGATGGCGAAAAAACCTGTAGGGGCACAGAGAGCTTGAGATACGGGGGCGGGAAATCCATGTGAGGCTTGATTAAGCCGATCCTTTGAGCCCCTCGTGGTCAGTTTAAGCCACAGGTGAGCGATCACCTCAATCTAGCAGTAGTCATCAGTATAGGAAACATTCATGCATTCAGACTTTACTGTGGGCGGGGCTTCACACATCCTCACCATTGGTTCTGTACTTCAGCCTCTCCCCGGACCGAAGCGGCATGCCCTCGCTCAGCTAGAGACACACAGAAAAGACATTCCTATTACAACAGCTTCTGATCCACAGAGAGGGAGTACCACACGAAACGGGATTAAAAAGGTTCATGGTTTAGGTCAGTAAACAGAGTTAGTGTGAAGTATGAGCCTAATCTGATTATCCATCACTCCTGACCATTAATCTAATTTCTGCCTCCTGCCGGAGACAACCAACCCAAAAAGTCATGCGCAGGTTCACGTGAGTCCCAGCACCTTCCTTACCCCACTGTGTGTTCTGGGTTCTGCATCTAACCACGCAGACTTTATTCCCCTTAATCAACTCGGGCTTCTCTCACACCTGCAAACTCATGAGGGGTGAAAAAGTTGCCAGACTTTGACGCGTAATGTAGAGATCTCAACGCTGATTGGCCGAGGCTCTTGCGTCACATCAAAAGATGTTTTGATGTTTTATTGCGAAGATCACGACATCACCTTTTCTCATTGTCTCTGAGACACCTCCACCCCCCAAATAAAACAAGTTTGCATCTCCAACCTGTTTGGAGACTACAGGTCAGCACAGCACACTTTACATTACGTTGTAGACGACGGCCAAAGATAAATGACATGAGGAGGGTCCATGTCGCTGCATACCCAACTCAGATTGGTTTGTGAAAACGGAACCTGCCTCCTGCCAATGTTCGGTCTCAAAATCCCTGTTTAAATAAAACATGTTCACATTCTCACCGCTTCAGGACGTCTCAATGCAGTACGCATGTTAACCGTGTTTCTCAAATGTGTCTTCTGAAACCTTATTCTGCCTCAGGTTCAGGCATGAAAACGGGTCACGGGTGAAAAAGGTGAGAAGGATATCAGGGTTTTCAGGGGGGGGGTTGACAACAACTAATAGGGGACATGTCATTAAATACTCGTCATGCATTATATTGCATTGCATAATGTGCTGGTCAACTAGTCTAAAATTAATTTTAGACAAATGTTTGCGTAGTTTAGAGACAAATGGTACCAGCGTACTTTGAACAGGTTGCTTATTGATAGAACGGTGGAGCACTTTACCTTCTGCCTCGTCGGCCCCCTCACCTCAACATCTACCTCCTCAAAACGCTAGCGTTAGCTACCGGAGGGTTAGCTAGCTGGCCAACGTCGCGTTAAATGACTCCATTCATCAAGCTGTAGCTAACGTTAGCTAAGTCTATGTCAACAAAGCTCATGGGTAACTTAACTTAGACCAGAAAATATTAAAACCATCACTCACCCGGTTCGCAATTCACTGAATCTCGCGCTCCCTTCTGACACGCGCACCTGTTCACAGTTCACTGAATATGAATCCCCCCCCCCCCCCCACCCACCCCAACTCATCGGATCTACACGATTCACGTCGGTCACCTATTTTGGTTTCAAAATGGTAAATTTTGCCGAAAGGTGAGGGATTTTCATGCCTGCAGGTTGGGAGTCTGTGACGTTTGTGGCTGGATGGACAAACCAAAGCAAATTAGATGGGAGGTTCTCCTCTGCATCACTGTGAGAAGACCAGGAACGTACAGAATAATCCCACTGCCGCGCGAGGCTCCGTACACTCTCGAATCAAAGACACCAAGCACCTGCTGGTGTCGGCCTACACGGACCAGAGAGTGAATGGCTTGGACGTACGCATCACTGCCATTTTCAAGAGAGACTCCATCCAAACACTGCAGTGTGTTTTCTGTTGTGCAGGCCAGTTATCAAGTTTCACTCCTGGAACAATTCTACAACACTTGTTGTACAAACTTTGGTTTCCCCTACGTCACCACGCATGTCATGTGTCAGATTCCCCAAAACTGCAACGCTACACATGTAAATCTCTTGACTCAGGAAAGGTCCAGATCTACACGGTTCACATGGATGACCTATTTTGCAGACATGTCACTCACCTTTCCAACAGGGAGTGTGTAGAGCACAGCCTGAAATACGATCCAGAGGACCACCAAGCCGAAAGCCTGAGCATCCCAGAAGGCTCCGGGAGGGGGCAGGAGGGGAGGAGAGTTGGTCAGACTGGGGTCCTCCTGGTTCACCTGGAGGACCAGGAAGAAAACCCAGGAGGGCAGGAAGAGCAGCCAGAAAAATGCTCCTGGAGGAAGGGAAAGGCAGTTGGATGAGGTATTTAGAATTACTGTTCGACCCTTAACCATGGACGAGAGCTATGACTGGTTAATGCTGGCAGTTTCTAATAGGTGACAAAATGCGCAGTGGTAGAACCCCTGACAGTGTGCCAGGCGGACAGATAACACATGGGGTCACAGACGGGTCAACTGGAGAGTGCGTGGGCTCCTCAGTGCATCTACTGGTGCTGCAGATGAAGGATAAACCCCTAGCGTTGATTTTTCATCGCTCGAAACTGTGACAACAAGTCCTGTTGGGGAGTCACAGGGTACGATAGCAAACCCCCCTGACAGCAGTAATTACTGGTGGCCAGAAGAAGAGACCTATGCAATACAGTTAGGGCTGTCACAATATCAATTTTTTCTTGTGCGTATATTGCACCAACATTTATTGTGATATGCAATATTATTGCAATTTTCAGACCATTTTATGCCTCTGATAACATAATGACAATATAATAGCATTGGAATAAAAGTACGCTATTTCAAAGAACAAAACGTTTTATTTGTCAGAATAGTTCGACATTAGAATCGGAGCATCGGGCTTGGTGGGGGGAGGTGGTTTAACCCAGGGAGGTTTAACGCGGGGCTTCGACTGCCGGCAGGGCGACGAGCTCCGGGCTGCAGGGAGAGACGGAGCGGCGCCAACAATCGGCCGGCCCGGGAGGAACGCAGGATGGCGTTCAAAGAGGTGAACGAGCAGTCCGGAGGAACCGGTTGAAATACGGGCGGATGGTTGTTGTTTTTGGGGAGATTTTAGCTTAGTTGGGTTCATTGTGCCTGTGTGCGCACTGCCTGAGCCTCGCCCTCTTTCCACAAGGAAAAGGGACAGAGGATCAACTTAAATGTTGGTGACGTTCATTTATATGTAAAATGAATATCGCAGCACCAACAATTATTGCACGCGATTTCAGAGAGTGTGCGATATGTCATTTTATCACATATTGACAGGCCTAAATACAGTTCCTATCTCTGGGGGGTGTGGCCAGACTCTTGACAGACATGTCAGTGTTTGCGTGCATGTACTGGCCAGAAACTGCCGTGCACAGCGAGCAATGGACAATTGTAGACGTGAAAAGAAAATTCCTGCTGTCGACTAACATCAAGCTGCATGGGGCACCCGTCACATAACCGACCTATCTTGCCTCCAAAGTCCAGCGGGGTGGTGGTGGGGGCGCCGGGGGCTGCAGCCGGCTTGGCATCCTCCTCCACCAGCTGCTCTGGTTTGGCTGCAGCTGGTTTGGCGTCTGCATCGTCCTTCCTGCGGCGCAGATTGTACCGACACTGGCCCTTATCAGGCCCCGCCTCTGCCGTGGCCTCACCTTTCTGAAGAAAAGAAAAGGTACAAATCAGTGTTGTACAAGATGCAGCCTCCCAATTTCACTTGATTGACAAGGTGCTGATCAGCAGCTCTTATAAAATATGTGTTAATGGTTACAGTCACTTGACCTGATGGGAGATCAACTTGTTTTGCAAATGCAGCAACTCCAACGAGCCTTAGACGTTTGAAAATACCTAAATATGCAAATTACTCCAACAATTGTGCACACGGCGGTGCACATGTACACCCACCGACCAGTCGAATATGTCCAGCAGCCGTCTTGTGGGACTCACCAGCACTCTGTTTCCATCAGATCGAGCGATGTCAGGGGCGATTTTGGAAGTCAAACGTCACTGTCAAGTGGAATTTTACGCTGTACCCTTTTTGGCTTGCGAGTGGCCAAAGGAGCTGGCTCTCTTCTCCACGTAGGATCAAATGGGCTCGGACGATTCAACGAGGTTTGACCACCAGCTCACAAAGTCCAGATTTCACTACATGCCTCTAGCAAAGTAATACTTTTACAAATACTGTGCACACATTGGGCTACGATTTAGCATTTTTCCTGGTATCTCCCGGTTTTAAAGGGATCGAATAGTAGAAACAAACTGAACATCCGGCTCATAAATCTATTAATAAGAATCATTGTTGTCGCACCACCACGTCCATTGGAGACATTCAATACGCGCCACCCAGTGGAATACCTCATTGCACCACCATATTCAGTGAAAACGGAAGGAGTCCACAATAGTGACGGGGGAGTCACACAGGGTGATGGGGGAGGGTGGGGCTCTGTTCCTCCGGAAATCCACAACCATCTCCACTGTCACCAAGGCTCTTCTCCCACGATTGCTCAGTTTGGCTTCCATTTAAGGATTATGGAGGCCACTGTGCTCTTAGGAACATTGAGTAGGACTGTCACAATATCAAATTTTTGTTGCGCGATTACTGCACCAACATTTATTTCAATATTATTGCAATTTTCAGACCATTTTATCCCACTGATAACATAATGACAATAGCATAGTAATAAAAGTACACTTTGTTCAAAGAACATTTTATTTGTCAGAATAGTTAGACATTAGAATCGGAATGTGGAAAAAATAAATCCTATATAAATAAAACAATAAAGTGCAAGGGACACGGAGCGGGCGAAGCATCGGGCTTGGTGCGATTCAGTCAGGTTCGAGAAAATGTGTCCAGCGGAAAGGCGCCGCGGCACCCGGGAGAGACGGAGCGGCTAACAATCGGCCGGTCCGGGACGACCAAAGATGTGAACGAGCAGTCCGGAGGAACCGACAGTAGTTCAGGTTGAAAGACGGCCGGATGGTTGTTGTTTTGGGTGAGATGTTCGCTTAGTGAGGTTCACTGCTTCTCTTCACCTGTCGTTGTCCGCTCTGTGTGCAACTTAAATGTTGGTGACGTTCATTTATATGTAAAATGAATATCGCAGCACCAAAAATTATTGCACACGATTTCAGAGAATGTGCGATAGGGGTGGGAATCTCTTGGCACCTCACAATTCAATTCGATTCCGATTCAGAGGTCAACGATTCGATTCGAAACTGATAAAACGATTTTCGATGCATCTCGATTTTCTAAATTTTCTCAAATCTGAGTTTGCTACTCACTTCCTACTTTATTTGATAATTAAAGAAAATCAAAAGATGAATTACCTGCTCTAATTTTTTATTAAAAAAATCTTTGTCACAAATATGATTTTCTGCATCAACAATGCAAGAACCAATGCAGCTTGCAACACAATATGAAGTAGCCTATGTAAAAAAAATATTAAACAGATTCATTTTTCTTTTAAATGAAGAAAAAGCTGCTCTTAGTCTCAGACCGGTCCGTACTTGTAAAATACCGGAAAAAAGTCCAAATCTGTGAATATCTTGCCAACTTTAAATACGGATCGACTTTTTGGAAAATGCATAATGAGGTAAGATGTGCGCAGGCTCCTCCATAGTTCGGTAAAGTTATTAGATATTGTGAGATGCATGTACTGGTCAAATATATTATAACATTGTTTTGTGCTAAAGCCGTGTCTCAAGTGTCCTGTATTTGACCCTGATGTAGCAGCATGATACCAAATGTTGCTTTGCAGCTGTGTCCTGAGAAGGGAGGGCGGTCAACTCGAGCTCATAGACGCTTCAAAACAAAGGACTCCTGTTCATGGCCGTAGTTCATAACTTATTCGGTATGAAAGTTCCGCATCCACATTTTTACTTTATGTCAATTAATTATGATTTGCACCGGCCACTGAGGAGGATCTTGTGTGTGTGTGTGTGCTACCCTCAGCTTCACCTGGGTTCTTATCTCAACCTGCTTTGTAGCTTCTCGTAACTGGCACGGAGAATGTTCTTCACATGTGTATAAAAACTCAGCGTTGTTACTGCTCGGAGACGTCATTACGCCGAGCGCTGAGAGACGTGCTGCTGTGTTTGACCTCCTGCTTGCAAGCAATAGTTAGAGCCAGATATCTGCGGAGAATTGCTCATGTAATCTTTTTCTCTTCTAAATAAATGTTAACTTTTTGACTTTAATTGATCAACGTGCTGCGATTCTTCTCATCAACCAACTCGGGGGGATCGGAGATTCTGACAGTATTCAGATTCAGACTGACGGACCGGTCTGAGAGCTGGACGCATTGCTCTTAATGTGCCGGTAATGATGGTAAATGATGCTTGTAGCTGGTTGTCATCTACGCTCCACTACGGTTACCGAAGGGGGGGTGGTTGTTTTTTGACAACGTTTTATCTCTTAATTTCGACTTTCTATCCCCTTACATTAGTGCGGAAATGGGCTTCTATAGTTGTGTGGATGCATCACTCCAGCCAATCCAAAGACGGGGTTTGTAACCAATCAGGTGTAGAGACCATGGTGACTGGCTCCGCCCCCTCACTGTCAGAAAGAACAACAGCGAGCGCGTAGAAAACACCTTCAAGCGCGAGCAGAGACTAACCTCGCGAGCGAGGGAGTTCTCCGCGAGCGAGCAAATATCTCGCGGGAGACGGACTTTTTTTATTGCGATTATTAACTTTTCTGAATCAAGACCGGAGAAATCGAAAAAAATCGATTCCCCCACCCCTATTGGGCGATATGTCATTTTATCGCATATTGCTCTCATATTGAGTCCTGCAGAAATTACTTCATAACCGTGGCCACGATTGTGTCTCTGCGCTCCTTGGGCAGTTCCCTCCACCTCCCGATCCTCATTTGCTCTGACGTGCACTGCGAGCTGTAAGGTCTTATATAGACAGGTGTGTGCCTTTCCTAATCAAGTCCAATCAGTTTAATTAAACACAGCAGGACTCCGTTACGTCCCCCAGCTGTGGTGTTTGTTGCTACACGTGTTTGGGTGCACGCAGTGTCCTGATTACAGATGAGCCACACCTGAGCAGAACCTGTGTTGGCGCTACAAAGGCTTCCTGGACCATTCGGCGGCCACACAGATCCTTCAGTCTGCACAACGGTGCTTGCTGCTGCCATGATCACCGTTCAGCCGTCCACCCGGCAGTGAGAACGTTCCACATTTGTATTTTGTTTTAGTTTTTGTTAAGATACCTTTAATATCCATTCTGTTAAATAAAATACCCCTATCTTATTTTGATACGAGCCGGTTTGCACGTGTCTCGCCTTTATGTTAAGGGTGGTGACCGCCCGTAACATAGTGGGGGCTCGTCCGGGATCAATAGTTGATTAAATCGGACTATAGTGTAAAATTGCGGAACTTCTGAAAGCTACAACATTTTGGTGAGTATTCTGGTGGGAAATCACGGTTGTCTGTTCATTTGTTTAGTCGATGTTAGTTTTATTTTTGGTGGATAACTCAGGAGGGGGCACTCGGATGCCTCGAGCTGAGTAAGCCACTGAACATACGTAGGTATTTAGATTTTTGGTTTGGTTTTGTGCATAGTTAGTGAGAGTAGTTGGACAACATTTTGCCTATCAGAATACCTTTTGAGTTTAGTTGTATAGCTTGTGATATATTGTGGCATATCACCTAATTAGTGAGCGCTGGTATTCTGGTGATACGAGCGCATTAGTTAAAAGTCGTGGGTGGACAATAGAAATTCGTGGTCGTTTGTAGCATATATTGTGCTTTTTGTTTGACCACTTTAGAGAATCGCTACCTTGTAGCTTAAACCGCGCGGTGTCTTTTTTTTCTTTAAGTTATTGAATTATTTTCTTGACTTCTCGCGGTCTAATAACCGTCGTTTCGCGTTAAAATGGCAACAGAGGAAGCTTTTATTAAAGCACCCTCTAATGAGCAGTTGCTGAATTTGGCAGTAACTTATAAAGTTGAGCTCACGTCTGCTGAAAAGCGCACCAAAGAAACAATCAAAGCCGTCCTACAAGCTGTTTGGGGGCACACAGATCCTTGAGTCTGCACAACGGTGCTTGCTGCTGCCAAGATCGCCGTCCACCCGGCAGTGAAAACGTTCCGCATTTGTATTTTGTTTTAGTTTGTTGTTAAGATGCCTTTAATATCCATTCTGTTAAATAAAATACCCCTATCTTATTTTGATATAAGCCGGTTTGTGTGTGTGTCGCCTTTATGTTAAGGGTGGTGTCCGACCGCCCGTAACAACTCCAACGAAGGAGTAGAACCATCTCAAGGAGGATCGGAAGAAATGGACAGCAAATTAGTTAAATATTAGTTAAATGAGTGTCACAGCGGGGTCTGAATACTTATGACCATGTGATATTTTAGTTATTTTTTTAATGAATTTGCTAAAATGTCTACATTTCAGTTTTTTCTGTTAAGATGGGGTGCCGTGTACACATGAATGAGAAACTGAACTTTTTCGATTTTAGCAAATGGCTGAAATGAAACAGTGAAAAATTGAAAAGGGGTCTGAATTCTTTCCGTACCCACTGTGTATCTGTGTGCGTCCTCTGATGGGGACGGGTGGGGGAGACGCTGAACTACTTTGTGGTTTGCAGAAGCTACTCCCCGTTCATCAGTAGCTTGTGAACCAAGAAGGAGTGGGCACCCCTGATGTAGAATGTCTATGTGAACTCATTTAAGAATCCCAGATGGCTTCCCCTCCCCACGTAGGACCCCCAAAGGCAGGGAATGTACAGACATATCCCCACACACTCACACACACACACACACACACACACACACACACACACACACACACACACACACACACACACACACACACACACACACACACACACACACACACACACACACACACACACACAGGAAGGAAAATCTGTTGTTTTTTGGTAACAGTTAATGAGAGAAGCATGTAGATAAAGGACCAACTAAAAAGTGTCGTTGTGTGGCTCTCAGGACTTTTGGTCGGTCACATGGGATGATGTTGTGTATGAGGCATGAGCCTGTCCACCACCAACTTAGTTCTAACCTCACGTTTCAAAGACAGCAAAAAAAATGATCTCACTTACGTTACTAGCAGTATTATTCTCCTCTTTCTTCGCATGCTTATTGTTGCCATTGTTCACTGCTGCCTTGGTCTGTTTCTGGCCATCAAACAATGAAGGTTGATGGAGAATAGGGAGAGGAAGAGTGACGAGTTAGGGTCAAAAATCCAGGATAACAGGGACAAAAAACAGACACAGTTCCCCACAACAGGCTGGAATGAGGATTGACAACATTTGATGATGATCCTGCCAGATTAGAACTCAGAACTCCACTGATGGCACAACTACTCCAGGTCAAGACACATTTATTCATCTAGTCCATAACTAGTCTTTGGCAACATCAAACTACTGGTTTCACAATGTGATCGATTTATATTTGAGGAAAAAAAACAACCCATAGACCAAATATGCGGCGCTGTGACCGGCCCTTTGATATAGTTTGTCATTCCTTTTTGGACAGGTGTCCAGGTGCACGAGGCACAATCGACATATCCACTGTTCCGTCACATTGTAACGTCACTCATCTATAGCAAATTGTAAATTGGCTTATTTGAGGAAATTGCACTTTCTTGTTTCTTGTTCTCCTGAGTTTGTACCCTATGGTTGAATGCACTTATTGTACGTCCGTTTGGATAAAAGCGTCAGCTAAATGTAATGTAATGTAATGTTCCACTCTGCTTTTTGTTGCCTGGTAACTACAAAATGCAGCAGCAGGAAGTGTAAACTGAATGGGGTTCTTCTTAGTGTTGCAACATTGTGATGTGGGACATTCCAGACACGTGGTTAGAATCTCTTTAACGCACCACATTAACATTAATAGGACAGTCCACTGGACCAAGGTCTTACCAGGGGACTGAGCCTGACTTCTAGTGAATCCTTCAGCCTGGTGTCCCTGTGGGACGGCACAGCGGCATCGGTGATGATGGCAGCCGCGGTGCGGGAGGACGTGCGGCGCGTGGTCCTCGCCGGGGAACGAGAGCGGCTGCGCCGACGGCCCGGAGAGCGGGACCGAGAGCGAGGCCGGGTCTGGAATCCTGAAGCAGGCTGAAGGAAAACAGAAAGATTGAGAACAGATACGGTCCACGTCATCTTGTATCCAATAGCTTCACACGGCAGGTGGAGAAGACGTCTGCCAGGCTCGTGCGTTCCTCCAATCAGTCATAGGAAAGCACAAGAAATCAATTCATTTCCCACAATTAAGTGAACATCATAGACATCAATGGTAAAAATGAGAGTTCTGCTCATATCACTTCCAACACAAACAACCAGCTTTGAATTCAGGTGAAGTTGAACCGTATTTAAAGTCTCATTTTGATGGAAAGGATCACTGGTAATCAGCAACAACACATCAAACGTGGAGACAAAGCAGTGCTTCATTTTGCGTTTGAATGTGTTGGTATGATCTAACTCTGATACACTGACTGATGAACTGCCATTAGTCTGATGCAAATATTTACACATTTGCAGATATTCAGCACAAAAATGGAAGTGAAAGGCATCAAACAAGTTGGTCTGTAAATCAATGAATCACTTTCACAATGTTGGTATTTAGTTAATATAGAATATATTTCAAAAGTATAAAAACACAAATTATTATAAGCACTGTTCTAAGTTGCTGACTACCTTGATGTCTGGCTCCTTGAGCTCCAGCTCGGTACCATCCTTGTAGATGACGGTGTAGAGACTGCTTTCTGCATCGAAGCCCAGCACCTTCACCTCGTAATACAGGCTGCTGCCAGGCCAGCGGCCCATGACCATCTCCCCGCTCTGATACCTTACAGCAGGCATCTTCACTGACCGGAGGATGAGGGAAAGACGAGAGACGTAGCAGCAAGTCAAATACAGTACAGGTAGGAAGACAAAACCAGGGAGCATTGTGGCTTATGAGCACAAGCTGAAACAGCCTTAAAAATACAGCAGTTCTGCAATTCAACGTGTGATTGTACATAGCAGATGTTGTTCTAAAAGACATGCGGCAACGGATTAGAGCGACCCCAGAAGATCTGGCTTTGAGCAGAGGACCTCCTCAAGCCGGCCGTCACTACACTGTGGCATTTAGACCGCTCTACTAAACAATGAAGGGTGAAATGGGCTTAGGGCTTCATACAGAAATGGTGGCAGTCTCACAGTCCAGACCCCCTACAAGGACCTCTGAACCACACAATCGGTCCATGTGTCGCTCGCAGCAGTGGGGCAGAGAGCACCAGAGGGACTACCCCCCCCTGCCGGTCGGCCAAAACGTTTGCCCAACTAGTACCCCCCTCAAGTAGTAAACCCAGGGAAACAAACCAACACCCAGCCTATACTAAATGATGGTCCTCTAAAGGCCCGGCCTCTTGTCAGATTTGGATTGAGCTTCTTGAGCTGGGTCTGCCTCAGCGCTGTCTGAGGGACCATGTACCACAGAAGGGCAACTTACATTAGCCTACACTTCAGAATGGCACCACTGGCCACAATGAGGTCAGCAGTGTGGAACATTAGTGACCAGGGAGGCCCAGTGTGTCTAGAGAACCGCTGACAGGTCTGTCCCTGGTAGCTTTAGCCAAAGCCGTCTGACAGAGCGGTGCATTGTGAGTCAGATGACAGGAAACTGAGCCGTTTGTCAGGTCCAGCAGACACTTTCACTCTCAAACAGTGAGAGTGGAAATGGAAACATGCCCACGTCCCTGCTGCTACGGCTCACTTTCCCATGCGTGACCGTCCCAATGCCAGCACGAGAACACAATAATGTACACAGTGGGTGGTAGCAAGACTCACCGGAAGTGAGAGAATAGTGACTTTGCTTCGGTTTCAGCAAAGTAAGTATAGATCTTTACCTCCAGCTCTCTACTGGCCACAAGTTCAGCCACATGTCCTAGTGACGTCAGTAAATGGGAGGTGACATAAGAGACTTAGTGCTTTTGGTGTAATACCCTAAAGCCACAAGCAAATCAAACAAATCTTTTTTTTTTTTTTATTGATAGCCATTATATCGACAAACACAACACAACCACTCTGCTGTACAATAATATCCGGTGTGTACCTGATCTCTTGTATGCCTTTCAAAAACACAGAAACAACTCCAACAGTCCTTTGAGTAGTCAGCCCCCCAGGATCACAACCAACATGTAGGGAGAGTCCACCCACCCTCAGCCCCCCAGGATCACAACCAACATGTAGGGAGAGTCCACATACGGGGGTCCACCCACCCTCAGCCCCCCGCCTATGAGCTGCTGCGACGCGGCCGAGCACGCAGTCCCCGTCGGATGAAAGGATGCGGGCTGTCCCGTAGGTGGAGTTTTCACGGAAGTCTCTCTCTCTCGCTCACGCACACACGCCGCCTTTGAGCAGGAAACTGCTGTTTAGCTCCACCTATGTAGGTATGCAGCCCCTTTGACGTGCACGTTAAGTCGTGACATTCAGAACGGCCACATGTCAGGTTGACACTGCGTCACTGTAGATTCACTACATGTCATTTAGCTGACGCTTTTATCCAAAGCGACTTACATTGTGCATTCAACCAGAGGCTACACGAGGCTATCGGGGCATTGTGAGGCGATATGTATAAATAACATAATGTAGCGTGGAATCTTCCCTTGGGTTCACATCGTTCAGTCTCGTGAGCAACTTTCGCCGCGCTATCATTCCGCGTGACGTCACGGCAATAACGATCAATGTGGAGCAGTTCCGTAAACTACCGCGTTTGTGTGTTACTTTTAAAGTCGGCCTGTTTACCCACTGCGGTCATTGAGGCGTAGTGACGGGGTCCTAAACAGCACGCGCCGGTCCCCGCTGAGCCTGTTTAAAGACGCGCGCCCGACCTTAGCTTCGGGACAGGGACGAAGGAGGGAAAACGTCATGACTTAAAGTGCTGCTGGCGAAGAAAACAAACGCACCCGTCAGTCAAACCGAGCGCACATGTGTGCATAAGTTCGTCAAAAGCAAGGCTCGGGGACCATCTCCCAGCGAAAGTATTAAAAACACCTGCGTTGTGGTAACGCTGACGTTATCGTTGCAATTTAAAGTTACTTGTATGGTTGTATGACTGAGCAGGTACGGTCTAATTTCTGGGAGTAACATGATGGCGTGCCGCTAATGTGGAAACGCTCTGGTTAATGTCCCCGTACTGCTGGTCAGAACAAACGTCTAATAATAATGTCCAATGTAACAATATAAGACAACCGGCTGCTTACACAGAACCCAACAGTCGCCCATCCCTTTTACTCCGACCAGTGGAGACCAGGTACATTTCCAGGAACTAGTCGGCGCCTGGTCTCCGTTAACTTCGCTAAAAGCAAATATCGCAACAAAGAGGAACGTTCAGCGATTTAGCATTTCTCAAGCCTGTGCATGGGTCAGGCGCACTTACCTTATTATTGCGCGAGTAATTCCAGGGAGTAAAACTGAGAGAATATTTCGTGACCAAACGAAGAAATAATAAATGTATATTTATATTAAAAAAACGGAGGGTGTAAGGTTTTGACGTAGCGCTCGCGCTCCCTCCCTCGCAGGGCAAAACCCACCAGTGACCAGGAAGGCGCGAAGGCCGTTGATTGGTTCGCCCAGCGTTCATTTCAAATGTCTCTGCATGCTGATTGGCTATCGGCGGATTTTAACTGAGCCCGGATTGGTTCCAACGGGGTCGCTATTACTTTGTTTACTAGAATCAAGTTCCCGCCAGACAATATGGTAGGAATAGCAAAACCTTGAACGCGCTTATTCATGATAGAAACAAACATTGCTCCATAGTTATCCCCCGGATAATGTTATACATCACACAGGCATATGATGAAAATCATTAATTCATCAACTTAATATGTTGATAAAATGGTAATTGTAGTAGTAACACTAACATCCCATTTCATATGGATGTTGTAAATATGTATCCAATCACGCGTGTTGTAATGACTGCACTTCTTATTGTAGCACGTCTGCACCATCAGCTCAAAGTCAAACCACACCCAACGCAATAAGTAGATCAAGTCGGTTTACTTTCAATTCAAACACGCAATTTCAACACGACATGGGGGGTGTAAACGGGGGGGGGGGGGGGGTAGGGGGAAACGGGGGGGGCGGAAGGGGGTGGAGTCTGTCTCCGGCGCGCAGGAGCTCTAAGCCCCGCCCACAGGAAGCCTCGTCCCGAACGCAGCTGCAGCGCGTCTCTTTTTACATGCAGTAAAGTGCGGGAAACACAGGCTTCCGCCTGCAGTGAGTGTTGTGGCGACTGCAGTTGTTCGAGGTGTGGTGTATGTAATGTGTAATGTAATATATATAATCAGCTATACGTTACACAGGAAGACAAAAGCAGTAAAGACAATCGGCCTTCGATGGATGGCAGAGGTGGAACTGAGGGGATCTCCAGGTACACCAAGACGAGGGCTCCCCAAATAAAACATGTCCAAATCGCAATAAAACGAAAGCAACTGATGTTGCAGAGGTGTGATGCATCGGGCTCTGGGGGGAGATGGGTGTGTGGGGGGGGAGTAGCACAGGAAAGGCTGCATGGACACATTATGCATCATCAGTCAGAAGAAGAAAAGAGAAACTCTGTCCTCATCGTCCTCATCGTCCTCTTCCTGTCGCTGATCGTGCTGACGTCAGCCGGCGGGCTGCCAAACAAAGGCCGGACCATTGTATTGACAGATGAGGCCTTTAAAGTCAATATTGACTTAAAGTGAGACTGTTTGAAAGAGTAATTAACACTTGCGCTCAGAAATGAACTTGTAAGCAGTTCAATACACATTACAGCTGTGGATGGTCCAGTATGAGCAGGAGCTTAGACTGTACAAGTGACTTTGGTGGGTCAGTTTTATTAACTTAAAGAGTAAGTTTATTATACAGTTAATTGTGGATTGGCTAAGATATTGTGGTAATGTTTGAATTCAGCCCGAAAGGAAATTAGATTGGGCTAATGTCCTCGGCCATTGAGGCATATTTCTTGTTAATTAATTAATACAAAACAATTTTTGATGAAATTTTGAAAATGTTACGCAATTAAAAAGGTGACTTTTTTGCAAGAGGAGCTAATGCACAGCACACAAAAGCATTAACCAACCACACTGCATGGAAGATGCCATACTTCTGAAACCATAATACACCGACTAGGAAGGCAGATTTTATTATACCTTCAACCTTGACAAAGAAGCTCAAGCTAGTCCTCGGTTCATATCTTTCACAATAAAAGCCCAAGACACATAATAATATCCACATGCGAATAAATGTCACTTGCGCGTTTGTTGGGGACACTTTCGGTGTGTAACGGCTTCATGGTCCCTAACGTCACTCTAAAAGAAAAAGCTTTGAGTCTTGTATTGCAATTTTTATTTAATTTGCTCTAACGAAAAACAATGTGTTAACGTGTAAGAAAAGACTAATTAACATGAGAACATTATGGTACAATGCAGTCGAATAAAGAACAAGTCTTCTGAGTAACACAACTCCTTCACAGAACCGCGACTACGGACAGAGACGAGCGTCCCGTCAGCATGGAGACAACGTCGCTGCAGAGGACCAAACCCATTTCAACATAAAAAGACAGATTTCCGAGCAAGTGAAGAAAGCTGATTGGCTGAACACACGCGTGGTCTGAGTGGCGTCACAGAACAACTCGGACTCATCTGGACTTCAGGTTTAGAATAAATGACGCGGGAGCGAAGGGCCTCGCGTCTCCGAAGCTTGATTGTACCTCTCAGCGGTGTGATGTTGGGAACAGTACCGAGGTGACCCAACTTCTCCCTTTAAATACACATGAGGAAAAAGAAACAAACTAAATTACAACCGCTTGTGATCAGAACGACAGTCCCTAGATATTATTACGAGTCATCTTATATGTTCGACATATTAAATGCAACTTGGGAACAAGGCACAAACCACGAAGCTTCACCAACAGTCAAGCTTTCCTTCCATCGGAAACGTTTACCAGCGCCACGTCCTCTGTACGACCTCTCAAACTGAACAAAAAAGAGAAATTGAGCTTATGGGAATCGGAGGAATAAATGCAAGATGCTTTTAGCCTTAATACCATTTGGACCATTCTTTGTTTTATAGCCGGCCCACTGATAGAAGAACTGGTGAATCATACTGGCGGTAAAAGTTCTCTATTCGATGGTCGTGACCATCGAGATGTTACGATATTCATAGATGCTAAAACACAACTTCAGATATCAACTTGGAGGGTCCCGTCAGCCCCCGCTGGGGTCCACATCACTGGATCCGTCCCGCCGTCCGGATCTCATGCTACAGTATTTAGACATTTCCCTCTCAGCTTGATTGTACTTCCGTGAAACAGAACTGGAGGAGAATAAAGTCGCCCTTCACCCCCGTGAAGCCTCGGGAACGTACAGGCGAAGGGATTATGACACGAAAAAGGCAGAGAGAGAAGATGAGGCACGTCGTCAGTAAGCAGGAGATATTAAATGGTCCCGTCACCTTTCAATCAGCTCTATGAATGCAGTAAAATAATAACAGCATGATTAGAAACGCTGTTCAGCTCCAAAGCGGTTGGATTTTTATGGAAAATAAAAATACGAGTGCTGTGATTTAGGAACCGCGTTGGACCGTGAGATGGGATGTTCTAGTCTTTCCCCACGGAGCCACAGAATATCTGCGATAGAGTTGACGAGAGACGACGTGGTGGGAGCACCGTCCACCCGGGGGTCCGGCCCACAGAAAGGGACACACGAGACATCCAAAAAATGTTCAGTGGCCTCGGACTGGGGGGGCTTTAAAAAAGAGATGCTACACTTATTGCTTGTAAGAAAACTTGCAGGATTTGGCGGCAGACTCGTGGCCTCTGCGCCGCTCCGTGACACGACAAGAGGACCGAGACGGTACATGCAGACAGGGAACCCAAACGCGTCCAACGAGGAAAATGTCCCTGTTGTCCACACGGCCAAAGGGGCGGCTGGCGCTCGGTGGCGAGCGACAGAGAGGCGGTGAAAACAGCACGCGGCGCTCGCGGTTCGGATTCCAAAGAGAGCATCCCGCCTCAAGGGCCGGCGGGGCCGACGGGCTACGTGATCCCGCCGAAGATCCACACTGAAACCGACGTGGTTGATAGATGCTTTTTTTCTTCTTCTAAATAACTTGTTTCTTTCTCGTTTGTACATATTCAGGTTAAAATAGTATTTGAGGAAGACGAGCGTTACAGTGTCCTGCAGTTCACCAGAGACTGTCGGTCCCCCACACGCACACGCACACGCACACACACACGCACACACACGCACACGCACGCACACACACACACACACACACACACGCACACGCACGCTACCCCTATGGCATTATGGGAAAAAGGGTTTTTATTTTACGTCCCCCCCCTCTTCCAAGCTCGTTAATGAAACGTGCCTTTCTGATAGCAAATGACAAACGTTTGTATTCCTTGCATCAGGTCATAGGTCACCTGCGTGTCGATGGGATAATACAGTATCAAAGAGTTGGTGTGTGTGTGTTTTATCAGAGAGGAATTATCTTTCGGCCCTCAGAGGGGGGGGGAGGAGGAGATGGGGGCTCCGTCCTCTCCAACACTGTCCGTTTTGTGACTGTCCATTGCTGCCTCGTAGAACGTCCTCTCTCGCTCTCTTCCAGCATCGACATGATAGTTGTCGCTGTTGCTTTATTGTTTGATGTGATTTCGATGTCGTATCGTCTTCAAATGGACGGTGGTCTTGTGTCCGGTGGTTTTGTGGAGAGGAGTTTGGCTCCTCTACGCCGAGCTGGACCTTCCGAGCTCCTCCCTGATGGCTGCAGACACAAATAGACAGGTGCGTGTGAGGAATGGAAGGTTAAAGGTCGTGGTACTTCTTACTACTCCGTAGATCGTGGTTCCTTCGGGACCCTGGTCCTGTCACCTGCCGTGGCCCTGCTGGCGCCTGCTGCTGCCATCATCATCATCATCATTATTGTTTTAGATATTAATCATATTACTGTACTCGTAAACCGACATTACCCTCTGCTAAAGTCTCTGTGCTCTCCCTCCCCACAGGCTTCTGTGGATGGTGGTTCTACCTGATGGTGGTTCTATGTGATGGTGGTTCTACCTGATGGTGGTTCTATGTGACGGTGGCTCTATGTGACGGTGGTTCTATGTGACGGTGGTTCTATCTGACGGTGGTTCTATGTGATGGTGGTTCTATCTGATGGTGGTTCTATCTGATGGTGGTTCTATCTGACGGTGGTTCTATCTGACGGTGGTTCTATGTGACGGTGGTTCTATGTGACGGTGGTTCTACGTGATGGTGGTTCTACGTGATGGTGGTTCTATGTGATGGTGGTTCTATGTGACGGTGGTTCTATCTGACGGTGGTTCTATCTGATGGTGGTTCTATGTGATGGTGGTTCTATCTGATGGTGGTTCTATCTGACGGTGGTTCTATCTGACGGTGGTTCTATGTGACGGTGGTTCTATGTGACGGTGGTTCTATGTGACGGTGGTTCTATGTGACGGTGGTTCTATGTGACGGTGGTTCTATCTGACGGTGGTTCTATGTGATGGTGGTTCTATCTGATGGTGGTTCTATGTGATGGTGGTTCTATGTGACGGTGGTTCTATGTGATGGTGGTGGTCCCTGCAGTGGTCCTGCTGTGCGTCTGGTTTACTACTCACAGTTACTTGAATCATTCTGTCATATAGTCTCATGTATTATACGTTGTTCATTCTGTCACTCATGACATCATTGTAGTCGTCCATCAGGAGTCGGTCCTGCTGTGCGTCTGGTTTACTACTCACAGTTACTTGAATCATTCCTGTCATATAGTCTCATTGTATTATACGTTGTTCATTCTGTACACATGACATCATTGTAGTCGTCCATCAGGAGACGGATCCTCCTCTGACGTTCTCACTGAGGTTTCTTCCCTTTTTTCCCTTCTTGGAAGAGTTTAATCCATTGTCTGGGGGAGTTCCTCTGTGCTGATGGGTGGTTTCGGGCCAGAGGATGTCGTATGTGGTACAGACCTGTAAAGCCCTCTGAGGCTAATTAGTAATTTGCGATTTTGGGCTCTACAAAATAAAATGGATTGAACTACAGGGCGGGAGGATGCTGCGTGAAGCTAATGAGTACAAACCTGTAATGTCTCAGCTGACCAGCTAAGTCAAGTTGTGTAGAAGTCTGGGAGAAAATGACCCTACTTCTCACACGGTGCAAACATTAACTGGACAGAACCGCGAAAACTAGTTTGGTAAATAAAAGGTTTCATAATTCAGTGTGACGTGTTCTTGGACCTACTTTGAAATGGAATATTCATTAGGATGAAGTGTGTGAGAGATGAGAAATGAGAAATACCATCGATGAGCTCTTCTTTTAGCTTCGACAGCTCCTTCCTCATCTCATCCAAGATGTCCTGAAAGACAGAAACACAACGGAGTCACCTTTGGGCTCAACTCATGGTCCTGAAACTATACGGACACGTCCACCAGCGTGTCGAGGGACTACAAATACACCCCATGTTCCCCTGCTGAGTGGACAGATCGGCCTGGATACAGAATGATCAGCAGCGTCATCACGCCAGAAAGTCAGTCCATCGTCTCCGTGAGGACGACAGAGTGAGACGTATTCAGGACATCGGCGGATTCAGCGCATGCTATCTAGCTTTAGCATCTAGCATCGAAGAAGTTGCACCGCCGTGTGCACAAACAGCATGCAACACTGTTTTCCTTTAGGTCATTGTAGCCTCTTGATGCTCATGACGAGGACCCAACATGTCGGTTCTGGCTCATTTCTTGGCCCACGTGAGTCCTGCTCGTCCCCTGGGGAGGTTTCATGGTGATGTCTTTGAGTAAAGATGTTTTACTTTATTCACCTGTAGCGTTTTCACAATATATATTATATCAAAACTATACTGTCAACTCTATTTACAGAAAGATTTGCTTGTGGTTTGTTCATTTATAGCCTGATTTATATCATTTATTTCATTTAATTCCTAAAAACAAGGAGACACAAGATTTCTATGATACACAGACACACCCAAATTCCCTCTATAGAACCCTTTAATATGGGAGACAAGCCTGATGTATCCAATGTGCACAGTTCTCTTCTGGAAATGTAACAGAATGAAGTGTGTGTGTGTGTGTGTGTGTGTGTGTGTGTGTGTGTGTGTGTGTGTGGACTCACCTGTTTCAACCGGTCATAGTCGACTGCTTCTGTTGGCACACCGTTGGCGCCGAGGGACGCAGTGGGTGTCGGGGTGGATTTAGGCCTGTGAGGAGGGACAAAGAACCTCATTGGAGGAGAAAGCGGCGCCGCTCTGACTGCAGGTCTATAGAGCCGCACAGATGTGACCACACTAACACTAAGGAATAGGAATGCTAACAATACCACACACACACACACACACACACACACACACACACACACACACACACACACAGAAAAGATACTGCAAGTTAAGGAACCAAATCGTGGACATGCACACTGATTTGGGGGACACGTGCATGTCAGCACACAAACGCCTGGACCAACAAAGGGAAGTATGGCGGTTCGGTTCTTGTGACGGTCCTGAGCATCAGAGAGGGTCCTGGCGCCGCTGCACCGGTCTAACCTGGACCTGTTTCCTACGTTCCTCGAAGCCAACGCGACGGCTTCTTCTCACACGTCTGAGGAAAAGTGATAAGAGCGCTGGTCCGGGCAGCGCGACAGGAAGGAGACGAGGAGGAAAGAAAAGGAAACGAGCTCGGCTGCGGCTCCTCCAGAGCAGCCGCAGCGCAGAGGAGGTGTCGTCCTGCAGAGAGACGGCGGGGCCACTTCGCCGTGCAGGAAGTAGTTGCTCTCTCTCTCTCTCTCTCTTATGCATGTGTGTTAACGCGCACACACTTGTGCACGGTGGCGTTATCTGTGGGGGCCGGCTGGGTGATAACCCTGTGCCAGGTCTGCTGGGCGGACACGTCTTGGATGGCAGGGTGGGTGTAGAGCAGCAGGCGAACACATCAATGACCAAGCGGAGCCCAAAACGAGCCCATCGCCTCCAAAGGGTTTGTACCATCAGGTCTCGCCGGCCCGGTTCAAGGGTTCCTGTGTGGAACCCCCCCCACCCCCCCCCCCCCCAACAAAACCATCACTGCAAACCTCGATGAGAAAAATGAAAAGGAGATTAGAGAAAAGAGATTTCTCAAAGTGTCCCGAGCGTCCTTCTCTGTACCTGCTGGAGGAATCTGCTGCCACGGGGTTTCTCCACGGAGACTCCCGTCTGTGTGAGAGACACCCACTTTACAAGAGGGCAGGGTCGGGGTGGGGGTCAGGGTGGGGGTCAGGGTGGGGGTCAGGGCCGCTCTAAAGCCTAGTTTATGCTTCTGCGTTTTCACGCGTCCTCGCGTGTGTCGAGACATTTTCCTCCTGCAGCACCAGGCTGTGATTGGTCCGCTGACTACGTCCTTTACGGAGTCTCACACCTCCGCTTTCAGCCCGATACCGACATTATTAAAACGAAGAATGTTTACGAGAGAACGGAGCAGATTGAAGAACTTCTGTGGGAAGAAATGCGTAAATATGAGCGCTTGTACGAGACGCCATTGGCGGGTTTAGAAGCGGGTTGGATTCACGGAGGGAGATCGCCGCACACGAGGGAACAAAGTCGTGGAGGAAAATACGGGACAAATGTGTCCTTGATGAAAAGCAGCAGTGTGGATGCACGGGGCAATAAAGTCTATGATCAATAAATAAACCAATACATAAATAGACGTGACTCTCCAGGTCGTCTTCAACAGAACACGTCACTGTTGTTGTTGTTCTGGAGGTGAATCGCTCTGCAACACACGCACGACTTTACAACCAGGAAGTGAAACCAGTGCGTCGCGGAGACGGCGGCCGGTAGCGTCATTGGGAAGGCGGCCGTGCCGTCTTTGAACACGTAGCACCGTATTAACCTCCAGTTGAGGTTTTCTGTTCCCGACCCAAAGGCTGAACGTCGCCCTCCATTAGAAATGTGCACTGGGGGTGTGACGCATTCTTCAAACGGCGACATGCAGCCAGCGTGCACATGAAGGCAGCGCGAGCTGCAGTGATGTTAGCCCCCAGCGGGCATCATGCTAAGCTAGCCGACGCCAATGTTTTAATATGGTGGACGTTTGCTAACCATTGACACAAATGTCCATTTAATCATTGTTTTAACTTCTACGAGGTACGAGAGAGGGGGGAAGAAGGCGTACCGTCCGATGACTGGAGACTTGCTACCGTTCAGGGTGTTTGTTCTGTCCCACGGCTTCCTGGCCGTGTCTGCAGAAGACGACACGGCGGAGACATTAACATTAGTACGTGGCCTGTCAGGGTCACAGGGGAGAGGGACCCGGATCAGGAAGAATTAACACACTCACCCGGTGTGCTACAGGCTGACACTTTAGGGGTCGTGTTGATCTCGCCCTCCTCCTGTTTAGCAGACAGGGTTCAAAGGTCACATGTGGGAAACAAACGGTGCAGTTTAACCAGTCATGCTGACACTGCTAGCTTTTGGTTTCTCTTTTATTTACACTAGAAGCATTAAGGCGAAATGTAAAGTTTCCAAGCTAAAATAAAGAAGACCAACCGCTTCATTATACAAAACCTACGATTAACAGATTCATTTGGAGGAAGATATTTGGACTTTTTCATTTTAAAATAAAACGATCCGTCAGGCGTGAGGCGCGACACAAGTGCACAAGTTTCACTGACGTTAGCTTAAAGCTAATGATTAAAAGCAGCAATGGGCAAGTGAGTGGGATCGCTGGGAGGACGGACCTGGGACATGATGAAATGCTGCTGTGCAAATAAAGGCTCACAGGAGCCTGTTTGAGTTCAGTGGATCAGACTGGATTGTGGTCCAGGAGCAGCTATTGTGCAGTGATCAGTGGCCAGGAGGATCCTTTGGGACTCACCGATCTCTGGTCGGGTTCAGGAGACGAGCCCTTCTCGGCGATTCTCCTCCTGTGACAGATCGGACCACAGTCAGCAGTCAGCAGTATACATATGATATGCATACATGATATCATACATGATATCATGTATGATATCATACATGATATCATACATGATATCATGTATGATATCATACATGATATCATACATGATATCATGTATGATATCATATATGATATCATACATGATATCATATATGATATCATATATGATATAACAGAAGTGATTGAGGGGCATGTGGATTTGGGAAAGGAGGAGGTTTTATAGACATTCAGGTTTTTGGAGATAATTAGCAGCAGTTAAATTACACGTCATTGTTTTTTCCTCAAAATAAGATGGTGGCTTTTCCTCTCTGACAGTTGCTGCTGTATTTTAAGTCAAAACACCCTTTTTACCATTTATTTCTATACATTTATTTCTATACATCTGTGGTTCTGACTGCAAAGGAAAAGGAGATCCAATGGGGCCAAAGTGACTCTACCTCCTGGCCAATAGGGCGCTCATCTCTTCCATGAGCCCTCCTCCTGCAGGCACCGGCCCGTTGCCTCTGGCTTCGGACTTGGCCCCCCCGGCCCCCAGCATGGCTGCTGCCAGAGCGGCCCCCCCATCGTCACTCTGAGGGAGGACAAGGCAGAGCAACTTCTTCATGTGTGTGTGTGATCATGTGTGAACGCAGCGTGTGTGTGTGTGTGTGTGTGTGTGTGTGTGTGTGATCATGTGTGAACGCAGCGTGTGTGTGTGTGTGTGTGTGTGTGTGTGTGTGTGTGTGTGTGTGGGGGGGGTCTCTCTCTCACCCGGCCCACTTTGCGCAGCTTGGCCCCGGCGAGGGCGGCGGCCAGGCCCGAGAGGGGGCGGTCCTCGGCGGGGGAGAACAGTCCGGCGGGAAGCGGGGGCGCCGGTGGAGGGAGCGGGGCTCTGGTGGGAGGAGGCGGACCTGGTGGAGGAGGAGGGGGGGTCCCGCCTGGAGTCATCCCGGGGGGCAGCGGGGGAGCCGGCGGCGGCGGAGGGTGGCCGGCCGGCGAGGTCACAGTGGAGCCGGGTGGCAGGGGCGGCGGCGGGGGAGGGGCGGGGGCAGTCGACCCCAAGGTCTGCGCCACTTCTGTCGGGGGGGGAGACACAGGGAATTCAACCTTTGTTGTTTGGACTGTAAGTAAATGATGTTGTTGTTTGTGTCCTCCATGCAGCAACATGTGACCCTAACCTGCTGAAATGAAGAGGTCGTCCACAGGTCACATGACCAGCATGCAGCATTACGGATCAGTGCGTATTGTCTGTACATGGAGGCGCGGGGCTTATTATTAACTCTACAGTTGTCGACAGAACAGCAGAAATGATTTTCAATCCTCCGTATTTGGTGACGTAATAGACGATACCAACTAATACACTTGTTGTCCGTCCTTTGAGCGCGTCCACATGCCAGAGACACATGAGAAAGTCTTTAGATAGATGCTGACGCCTCAGTCATGTGACTCATGTGTCTTCTCGGGTAATCGCTCAACGCAGGGGCAGTTTTTGTGGGACATTTCTTTGCAGGATTATTTGTATGTTTTTTTGCATCGTACACGCTAGCTGCGCCTGAAAGAAGGAGTGGCTTATCGCCACGGAAACCTGTTAACCAACGCATTTGTTCCCATATTCCCATTCAACCACGTTCAAACTACACGGCGCCTTGTCTGGGTTCAGAACATCTACCAAGCTGAATGTAGCAGCTTCACTGCAGCTCACGAACCCAAAACAAACACCTTTAATCACATGAATGTAACTTTTATTACAATAATTAGGTTTATTAACTGGAATAAACGGCGTGAAGTTACAGCTACAGAACCCAATTACCGACTAGAGGATCCAAACTGATGGAAATGAGATCTACGGGCGGCCTGGAGGACAAAGGAGCAGCTGATGGCGACCTGATGGCGTGCTCTCAGACGGGCGGACAGGCCGTGCCACTTCTACCCCTCCCCCCCCCCCCCCTCCCATATGTGCTGTATTATGGGAGCGAGGTAACGCCCCCCCGCTGTTAGTGGTGTGACTCACCCTGGGGCTGGGCTTGACAGCAGGAGCCCCCCTGGCCCCCCGGGGCCGCGTCCGCCTCCCCCGGCCCCGACAGGCCCGGGCTCACCGGGAGGGAGAGGTGCTCGGCGGCGGCGGCGGCGGTAGGGGTTGCTGTGAAGGGAGAGGGCACACCAGGAGCCTGGGATGAGGAGGGGGGAGACGAGACGGAGGAGGTAGACGGACGGGGGGCCAAGGGGGAGGGGAGAGGGGGCGGGGTGGGAGGCGGAGGCGGGGTGGGGCAGGCAACGCCAAAGGGGGTTTGGCCGTGCGTGATGGTAACGGGCGACGGCGCGGGGAAGCTGGGCGGGCCATTGGGGGCCGGCGAGGGCGGCTTCTGGGTGAGCGGCGAGGGGGTCGCGAGGGGGAGGAGCGGCCGCGGGCCGGCAGCCTTCCCTGGGGGGCTGCTGATCATGACGGGTGGCGAGGGGGGCAGGGGCGTGAAGTTGCACGCCGACCACACCACGGACTTGGCTGGTGGATGCGGGTCGGGGGCCGGAGCGGGGGCAGGGGGCGGGGCTTGGGGGGAGGCCTGCTGCCGCCTCGGGACGGTGGCGTAGTGAGGCAGCACCGGGTGGAAGGCGGAGCCTAGCGAGGTGGCGAATCGGGAGGCCGAGTGTCTTAGAGGCGGGGTCGGCGGGGTGGCAAAGGAGGGTGACGGCGTCCCGGGTGGCGGGTAGGCGGGCGCCGCTTCCGAGGAGGACGTCCCACTGTACTCCTGACTGTACAGGCTGCTCTCAAACGCTAAAGACGCGCGCCGCGCAAACGGACGACGCGGGGACAAGGACAGGAGGGGAAGGAAGGACAGAAGGAAGCAGTGGTCATGCACACAGGAGGGACAGGAGAGACAGAAGGAAGGAGGAGGACAAAAGAGAAGAAGATGAAGCAGGAAAAACCAGCACAGTTGCACTGCAGGTTGTGTACTTTGTGGACAGCTGTGTTAGTGGACAGGAGTTAGCAGCGGGGACACAAAGGCCCTCACGTCTTCTCGGCAAGAGGAGAGAGAGACGGACAGTAACGCAGTAGATCGGACCACAAAAGGCCCAGCATGCACCGTGATTTTAACGTTCGTCAAAATACAAAAACGGATTGTTAGTCTGAATAATAGTGTGAAATAGGTGCTTGATGTTCCTTCTCTGATTGCACTGCACCTTTTTGGGGAGAGGAAGATTATTTGGGGGATTTTGTACTTGTGTGTCCCAGCTGAGCCGCCCCTCTAACTAAAGAACTAATGAGCTTGACTGTGAGTAGCCTAGCGTGTAGCGCGTAGCACGTAGCGTAGCCTCGGGCTATGGAGCTGCCATATGCGGTTGCTGGGAAGGTTGTTAATCCCACGTTCATCTTCTGCTCCACTTCTCCTCAGATAGATATATATATATATATATCTGATATATATATATCCATGGTGTTTTGAATACCTCCAGAGAGGTTCTAGATAGAACCAGTAGCCCAGGTGGTCCGTGTGGGGTTCTGGATGGACCCTTTACAGATGGTTCAGTATGGTTCTATGTATACCTGGAACCCTGTCAAACAAGGGCAAACTGGAGAACCCTGTGTGGTTCTAGTTCTACCTTCATTTCGGAGCTGGAGGCTGTGTGGTGACACACACACACACACACACACACACACCTAATGAGTCACAAGACAGAGCTCGTTCCAGCTGCACACATCTTTCTTTGACTTTAATGGTGTATGACATGTGAAGTAACTCCTCCTTCTTATTTATGCACACACACACACACACAGACACACACACACACACACACACACACACACACACACACACACACACACACACACACCTACCTAGGGGTCTCAACCATTGTCCCTGATGGTGTATTTTTAGCCTCTGAGTAACAGCGGCGATCCTGTGTGTGCTGCACGGATTAACCCCTAACCCTCACATTACATTACAGGTCATTTAAGTCATTTTTAACTCATGGCTTTTTACATTTTTGCCCGGGGAGCAATTAGGGGTTAGGTGTCTTGCTCAGGGACACTTTGACTTGGGACTTGGGACATGGGGCAGCCGGAGCTCGAGCGCACCCTCTCTACCCCCACGCCACCGACCCGGTCCCTCCTTTCTATCACGAGACAACAGGAAAAGCCCTGATCCATCACAGCTGGACTTTACACCGCGGCCTGTCCCTCTGGAGGAGGACAATGGTTCCCCGGTGCCTTAGCGTGTCCAGCCTGTGAGCACTGTAGCTTAGCAATAGGAGAGGAAGCTAACAGTCGTAGCGCTGGATAGGAAAGGCAAGAGGCCGAGGCCTGCAGGACAAACCCACCACGCAGGGGTCAATAGAGATGAGCTGGACTCAAGGACTTAACTAAGACCAGAACTAGCTGCATGTTAAAGTCTCCCACAATGCAATGCACAGAAGGAATGGTGAAGCTGCACCTTTTCAACCCCTCCCCCCAGAAAGCAGCTCTCTTGGAGGAATTGAAGCATGTGTTTTAGTATTTGAATGCTGTCGCTAAGCCACAGACCATCAGATGATGAGAAAGGCCTCGGACCGGAGGCTGAGCAGGAACCAAAGGGCTTCACTCACCGGCGTTGGAGACGCGTCGTCCTCTCTCCCAGTCCTGCTGCTCTCTGTCCAGCTGCTCCTGCTCTGCCTTCTCCTTCTCCATCAGCTCGCGCTCCTGCTGCTCCAGGCGCTCCCGCTCCGCCTGCGCCTCCCTCTCCACGCGCTCCCGTTCCTGACGCTCCAGCGCCTCGCGCTCCTGCTGCTCCCGTTCCACCTCCTTCTGCCTCTGCAGCTCCTGGAGCTGCCTGTGTGAGGAGAGGAGACAACATTCAGACAGTTTTATTGTCAGTTACACACGCCTGTGTATTGAAATTCTTGTGCTTGCCTTTTCTGGAAAGCCGACCGATTTTAAAATAAAAATACAATATTTACATAAATGTACATGAAATAAAATAAAAAATAAAAAATAAAATAAAAATGAGGTAAGGGGAAAAGTGCAAAACTGAGCAGGTCGTAAAATAAAAACTGAAATGAAATTAAATGAAATGTGTGCAATATAAATGAACAGCACAGTAACAGTACTTGACATCCTAACGGGCTAAAGTGCAGAGCAGTTGTGAGTCAGTGGGGAAAAGAGTTTAGTCTGCTGGTCCTGCATTTGGCACTTCTGTACCTCCTGCATGAGAGTAGAAGCGTGAACAAGAGGGGAGAGGGGAGGAAACAAGGGGGGAGAGGGGAGGAAACAAGAGGGGAGAGGGGAGGAAACATGAAGGGAGAGTGGAGGAAACGGGTGAGTGGAGGAAACAAGAAGGGAGAGTGGAGGAAACAGGAGAGTGTGGAGGAGAAGGGAGAGTGGAGGAAACAGGGGTGAGTGGAGGAAACGGGTGAGTGGAGGAAACAAGAAGGGAGAGTGGAAAAAAACAGGAGAGTGTGGAGGGGAAGGGAGAGTGGAGGAAACAGGGGTGAGTGGAGGAAACAAGGGAGAGTGGAGGAAACGGGAGAGGAGGACACGGGAGAGGAGGACACGGGAGAGGAGGAAACGGGAGAGTGGAGGAAACAGGGGAGAGTGGAGGAAACATGAAGGATGAGCGGAGGAAGCAGGAGAGAGTGGAGGAAACAGGGGTGAGTGGAGGAAACATGAAGGGAGAGTGGAGGAAACAAGAAGGGCGAGTGGAGGAAACAGGGGAGAGTGGAGTGAAACAGGGGAGAGTGGAGGAAACAGGGGAGAGTGGAGGAAACAGGGGAGAGTGGAGGAAACAAGAAGGGCGAGTGGAGGAAACAGGGGAGAGTGGAGGAAACAAGAAGGGCGAGTGGAGGAAACGGGTGAGTGGAGGAAAGATGAAGGGAGAGTGGAGGAAACGGGAGAGTGGAGAAGAAGGGAGAGTGGAGGAAACAGGAGAGTGGAGGAGACAGGGGTGAGTGAAGGAAACATTAAGGAAGAGTGGAGGAAACGGGTGAGTGAAGGAAACATGAAGGAAGAGTGGAGGAAACAGGGGTGAGTGGAGGAAACATGAAGGATGAGTGGAGGAAGCAGGAGAGAGTGGAGGAAACATGAAGGATGAGCGGAGGAAACAGAAGAGAGTGGAGGAAACATGAAGGGAGAGAGGAGGAAACAGGAGAGAGAAGCGGAAACAAGAAGGGAGAGAGGAGGAAACATGAAGGGCGAGTGGAGGAAACAGGAGAGTGGAGGAAACATGAAGGGCGAGTGGAGGAAACATGAAGGGCGAGTGGAGGAAAGATGAAGGGAGAGTGGAGGAAACGGGAGAGTGGAGGAGAAGGGAGAGTGGAGGAAACAGGAGAGTGGAGGAGACAGGGGTGAGTGAAGGAAACATGAAGGAAGAGTGGAGGAAACAGGGGTGAGTGAAGGAAACATGAAGGAAGAGTGGAGGAAACAGGGGTGAGTGGAGGAAACATGAAGGATGAGTGGAGGAAGCAGGAGAGAGTGGAGGAAACATGAAGGATGAGCGGAGGAAACAGGAGAGAGTGGAGGAAACATGAAGGGAGAGAGGAGGAAACAGGAGAGAGAAGCGGAAACAAGAAGGGAGAGAGGAGGAAACATGAAGGGCGAGTGGAGGAAACAGGAGAGTGGAGGAAACATGAAGGGCGAGTGGAGGAAACAGGAGAGTGGAGGAAACATGAAGGGCGAGTGGAGGAAACATGAAGGGCGAGTGGAGGAAACATGAAGGGAGAGTGGAGGAAACAGGGGAGAGTGGAGGAAACAGGGGAGAGTGGAGGAAACATGAAGGAAGAGTGGAGGAAACAGGAGAGTGGAGGAAACAGGGGAGAGTGGAGGAAACATGAAGGGAGAGTGGAGGAAACAGGAGAGTGGAGGAAACAGGGGAAAGTGGAGGAAACGGGAGAGTGGAGGAAACATGAAGGGAGAGTGGAGGAAACAAGAAGGGCGAGTGGAGGAAACAGGGGAGAGTGGAGGAAACATGAAGGGAGAGTGGAGGAAACAAGAAGGGCGAGTGGAGGAAACAGGGGAGAGTGGAGGAAACATGAAGGGAGAGTGGAGGAAACAAGAAGGGCGAGTGGAGGAAACAGGGGAGAGTGGAGGAAACATGAAGGGAGAGTGGAGGAAACAAGAAGGGCGAGTGGAGGAAACAGGGGAGAGTGGAGGAAACATGAAGGGAGAGTGGAGGAAACGGGAGAGAAGCGGAAACAAGAAGGGGAAAGGAAATACGAGAGAAGAGAGTATTGGAAACAAGAAGAGAGGACAGACAAGAGGAGAGGAAACAGGAGACAGAAGAAGAGGAGAGGACACAAGGAATAGACATTAATTCGTAGTAATTCTTTGTATTATCTCTTGTGATATTGTGCGAGTTTAGAGCCATCGCTTCAACAACCGCTGATGCTCAAAGATACTGGAGGGTCAGATGTGGACAGCGTGTTTCAGTAAAGACCAGCAGAGAGAAAAGGGGAACATTAGTGTTGGACGGTCCACCACATCACTGGTGTCATTTTAGGAGTTCTAAGTTTAGGAGCTTTATTTGGGCACACAGCCGTGCACTGCACCCTGCAGAGACCACGGGGGTCTGACTGCAGAGAGGAACGCTGTTTCTGGTCTTTATGTCAGTAACCGTGAGCCGTGGAGCGCTCCGCAAGGCTCTATGGGGGCGCAAACTGTGGCTGCAGACCCGGGTCGGACCACCAGGTGTCAGCAGAGGCCAGCGGTGCACGTGAGGTGAGACAGGAGCGGGGCAGTGGGGGCAGTGTGCGCTTCCGTGTGTGGGCTTGCACACCAAGTGAAAATGACAAAGTGTGACCGAGAGGCAGCCATTTCTGACATTTGATGAACGACCCGAGAGGAAGAACAAAGCATCAATAAAGAGGGAGATGGTGGGAACTGGAGCTAAATGCCAACGTGCACTTTCCCTCTGTGTGACACACACACACACACACACACACACCTCAGTAAACTAGCGAAAGGTGCGTGTGTTAAGAGTCTGGACCGGCAAGTAACGTCATCGGGGCCTTCGTTGTGTTTCCCGAGGTGCACTCTGGGAATAGCTTCTTATCCATACTGGTGTTTGCCTTGCTGAGACGGCTGGGAGTTGGCATCTGTCCCGTGCAAATTGGGCCATGAAGACAGTTGGCACACATCGGGCCTCTTCGTCCTGGCGCCGTGTGAAATCATTAAGCTGTTTACTGATGGGGGAGAACCTCAGTGTTGAATGCCCACCAAGAAAAGTTGTCAAAGCAATTCACAAGCATCCTGAGAGCGGCTAAAGTGGTGCCCTGGTGGGGGCTGGTGAGTCCATGTGCAAGTCCCAGACCCTACTAATATTTGTAGGGGTGTAACGATTCATCCACTGAATCGATTAATCGATTTGTATTCCTGCGATCCAACTGAATCGATCTGTGCTCCGCAAATCGGCATTCCGGGCGACATATATCGATTACAAATCGATTGAAATGGTACATAATCGATTGTATCGATACTTGGAAACTGCACATTGGATTTAAGTCCAAAAACGGTGTGGATGTGTGTTTGTTTGTTTGTTTTTTAGCACTTTGGACACGTTAAACGTTACTGGATTCAGTCTGTCTGTGACGTCATCAGTACACAGCGGCAGCCGCGTGAAACTCTGAACAACAACAAAACACAGCGTGGAGGAGACGACTGCGAGCGAGACATTTACAAACCAACTTATCGATCCAGTGGAAACATTTTGGCTTCTGCAAACACGGAGGTGTTCTAAATAAGTCGCTCGCTGTTTGTAGAATATGTAGAAGCCAAATAAAAAAACACTGAAACACGCAGAATCTTTCCGGCCGTCTACTAAGGCGCCGTGGGATGAAACAACGCCGACAGTCAGGACCTCTAGCAGCGTCACCGCTGCAGCAGCAGCAGAAGGTATCGAATCGGCAACCATGAATCGCGATTCGAATCGAATCGTTGTTAAAATGAATCGTTACACCCCTACTAATTTGTCTTTATTAGCATAATACTTCCATTTACAGTTGGACTGTTCATTTACAGATATCTTTATTTTTATAGAGTTATGTACATCATTTAAAAAAAACAGGAAAACTACTGTAAAAATGTTATTACGTTATTTTCCGTAAAATTAGGATCTTTTTTACAGTGTAGAAAGAAAAACGTGTCGCCATGAAACAAAGTAGAATGAATTAGGTTGCCCACCGCAAAAATGTGAGAACTGATTTTGTCCAAAAGGCTTGTGTGTGCCCATTGGAATGTGCCTCCATTGATGGACAGAAGGTTAATCAAATATTTCAATTGATCCTTTAACCAAATCAAAAAGTAACCTTCCTTGAGATAACATGTTGTCTTGTTTTTCAGATCTTATCTGCAAAAATGTGTTTCCGGTTAGGTCAAGCGAAGGCTTTTGGAAGGATCTAAGCCGTGCCTTTACCTGACACGGTGTTTGGCGGCTCTATGACGGATTATAACCAATTCCCTGAAGAGAAAGCGGCTGCAGGTTTCTACCTGGAGTATAGAAACGTGATGGCAGGAAGTTACACCTGAATGGTTCCTCCTAGTGAGACAGCCAAAGAAACTTCCTACACACTGTGGCACCATCCCGACCTCAACACACATGGGCGGCTGCTCGCTCACAGCGCTCCAGTTCCCACAGCGTCACTGACGTAGTTACAGAGCAGGCTGGATTCTGGGGCCCGATGGAAGCTTGTTGGAGCATCGCAACAGCAGCAGAGCCTCTCCGTGACTAAACACAGCCCGTTACGTAAGCGCGTGGCAGCGCTCTAATCAGGCCCATTGCAGGGGCTTCCTCTCCTTTTACTGCTGTCCTTTTCTTCTACGCAAAGATGGTGAAAGCGCCAT